GTGTCTTTTTTCCGACGTTGGCACCTCTTTGTTGGATGCTGCAATTAAAGAAGGAAACCAAAAGGAAACCAAAAGGAAACCAAACAACGGCGCCATTTTGAAGGGGGGCACCTCTTTGTTGGAAGTTGTTGTTAGAAGGAAACCAAAAGAAAACACATTTGCGCCAATTCTGTTTGGGGAGTATTTTATTTTTTTGAAAAGGGCGCCGCGCGAGCCCGTGGAGTCTCCTCCATTGTGGTCGCATGCTGGTCTACCCCAAATGCGATCTAGCAACAGTCGCTGCTCACAGGGATGTAGTTTGCTTCCAACACATTGTAAACTCTCTGACCGCAAATGGAAGTGCAAAATGAGCAAACATACTGCCAAGCCCTTTCTCTCTTTTCCTTCCTGAGAGCCCAAACAGAGATTTGCATATTATATGACGGTTTTGTGGCCAGGTGAATTGGCTCCATTCCTGTCCTTCCCAAGGCCGACGGGGTTCGCCTCTTTTTTCTGAGGCTCGGTAGCCGAGATGTTTGTGGCTTTGGAAGAGAACCCCCAAGGAAACCATCTTGGATTCTCGAAAAGAAAAAAGGCCGCACCCAAGAATGGATCAGAAACTGGGTCCACCCAGCTAGGTGCCCGCTCTTTCACCCTTTTTTTTGGTTGGGAGGGTTCCCCTACTTAAATAGACAAAAACGAAAAAAGTCGGTACCCTTCTGCTAACCTCTCAAATCTGGAGGGCCTAGGAAAGCTGGATGTCGGCAAGCGCGACGACACAAGAAACTGGCCAGTACAACTCCCTGAACCCATGGAACGCCTCCAATTTGGCAGGCTGGATCTGGTTGGGTTTCCCTTTCCGAACAGGGTTTTCACTGAAGAGGTATTTGGAACCCAAAAACAATCCTTGGGTTTCTGTGGCCCGCAAACGTTGGAATTTTGGAGGGGTTCAACTTTGGCCTGGGTGTATCAGTTTTCTGTGGGTACCCCCTTTTTGGTTGGTTTTTTAAAGGGACGCCAAAAGGAAAACACCCATTTTGCGAGCGTCCGATTCCTAAACAAAGACATGCCCTCCTGGTTGGAATATTGCAAGCGTCCGCTTTCTCGCACTAGTTTGCAAAGGCGAAGGGTGGACTTCACTGTTGTTGGCATGTGATTACTTGGTGGCTCCCAGCCATCCCCATAGCCTTTTAGCTTTTTAGTGTTTAGTGGTAGTTTCCATTTAACCCACTAAAAGTTATTCACTTTTAGCGGGGCATCTGAGGGCAGCCCAGATTAGTTTTTTGTGGGGTTCTGTTCATGTTTCTTGGGGGGCTGCAAAGAACAAAGCTGTAAGTGGATCAGCTGGTGTATTCAAGTTTCAGCCACACGCATTCTCGAAATGCATCGTTTCGCTGCCGCGCTTTGGTGTGCATGTTTTCCAATTGGTTTGGGCCATGTTTGACGACAGGCCGCTTTTGTGTCCGCCGTGCTCTTCAACTTCAGCTCCTGTTTCGACATGTCGAAGCTTCTGATTTCAGCGGCTTTTTGAGCAGGGCTCCTTAAAATAAATTAATTTTGCCACCATTTGAAAAATGTTGCTTTTTCAACACCAAAATAGAAGGAGACCACCATTTACAAGTTGCAATGCTCAGGTGTTTCCCTGTTGAGGGATCCCTGTTGAAGGCTTCGGCAAATTTTCCGCCGTCCGTCCACTCCTTCCTCTTTCCACCTGCCACGGGACGTCCGTCCGAAACGGCCGAAACGGCCTGCTTCCGCCCAAGGTACGGCGGCCACGCGTCCCATGCCCGGGATCCCACGCAGATCTCTTGAGGAGCCCTGACGTGGTAGCCATGGAAGCGGGGCTTCCTCAGAACGGCCGGCCTGAAGTCAAAGACTTCCGGGGCTTTTGTTGAAGATCAAATACATGTTCGTTGATGGTTGAAAAGCTTGCGTGGGCTTTCCTTGAACATCAAATAGAGGTTCTTTGGTCGAAAAGCTTTTGAGGGCTTGCATGGAACATCAAGCGTTCGCTCAGTTGCCCAAGGCCAACCTTTTGACCTTTTGGTGTCCCTGATTTGGGATGCGATTTGGGATGCCATATTTCGTCGTGGCCGCAAAATGGTTTCTGGGTCCTTTAGCAACTGAGTTTTAGGTTGCCACTTGAGTCATTATTTTTGCTGTCAGAACATGCCCAAATGTCAACTCAATGGAATCCCTTAGGGATAATAGTAGGAACAGAACCACTTGGTATCACAAGCATTTTGTTCCACCATTTTAATAGCCCTGCGCAACCGTTCGTTGGAAGAGAGTTGTCACCTCAATAAGGCTGTCCGCCCAATGGCACTAGTGATGTTCGCGCTTGTTCTCAAGATGTGAAACAGGTGCTTGATTTGCAGACATCATCTACTATCCCGTGTGCCCAGCCTTGGTGTTTGCTTCTGGTAGAGGGCTGTGGTCAGCTGCGTGCTTTGCCCAACCACTTTGTGTGGCTTTCGGGTCTCTGCCCAATGCGTTGTGGTGCTTGCCAGCATTCTGCAAGGGTGCAAAGGCTCAGTTGGTCGGAACCGACCTTTAACCTTTTGGTTTTCCCATGTTGGTCCAATTTCAGCAACGCCAAAAGGGCGGCCTTTGATTCTTGGGCCTTTTGGGCACCTGAAAAGGGGGCTGCTCTTGATACCAACTGGGCTTATGTTCGGAGAGGTTGGCGCCACGGCATTTGTCGCGGCACTTTGCACACGCCTTCACGCGGTAAGCCCGCGTAGCATCTGCCGTGCACAGAGAGTTGGAGAAGCTCGTGCGACCTGGCCGCTCATGCACGCCCTGCTCTCCGGCATAGAATTCCCTGCAGATGCCGCATATCTTCTTTACACTAGCAAGATTGCTATCATGCTTTTGCACCATGGGCTTCTAGCCGTGTGACGAGTTTGCTGTTCCCATTTGTTGCTTGCCTCGTAGTTTCAAACAGCACCTTTTGGCCCTTAAGCAAGTTTCCTTTGGATGGGGTAGTGCTTAAAGGGGAAATATAGGCAAGCCTGATTTACGAACCAACCAACTAGGCATGCAAGAGGTGCACATGTGGGGTTCATACACCTGGCCCTATGCTTGATTTGTGTCCTGTCGCTGTTGCCAAGGTCACCAACGTGCGGTTCAGCCCAAGTGCCACCGGCCTGGTTTCGCTTACGGGGCGAACTCACTGAGCACGTGTTATTTGTTTGTCTGTTTGTTTGTTTGTTTGTCTGTTTGTCTGTTTGTCTGTCTGTCTGTCTGTCTGTCTGTCTGTCTGTCTGTCTGTCTGTCTGTCTGTTTGTTTGCTTTGTTGTTTGTTTGTTTGTCTGTCTGTCTGTCTGTTTGTTTGCTTGTCTGTTTGTCTGTTTGTTTGTTTGTCTGTTTGTCTGTTTGTCTGTCTGTTTGTTTGCTTGTTTGCTTGTTTGTTTGTTTGATTGATTGATTGATTGATTGATTGTTTGTTTGTGTGTCTGCTTGTTTGATCGTGTGTATCTCTCTTTTTGTCTGCCTGTACGTCTGTCTTTCTGTCTGCCTTGTTTGGTTGTCTGTCTGTTTGACCCCTAACACCAACCTTGAACTAACTCCAGCCAGCCACCCACCATTCCACGGGAGGGGGGGGGTTAAAAGGGGGGGTTCGGGGCTGGCCCATGAATATATATATATATATATATATACATATTTGCATTAGTATTATTTCTATTGTTATTAGTATGATGATGATTATTCTCAACATTATTTATTCAGATACATATACACGTGTATATGCACGTACATGCAGATTGACCACCCATTTCGACACATTTTCTCAGAGTTCAGCACGTGGCCTTCGATGCATGGCCTCGGATCGCGCCAGGCAATGTGTTGGTCAGCCTTGGCGGGGGTGACCACACGCTCATGCAGCGGGGGGCCTCAAGAGACTAGGTCCGCCAGCTAGGTGCCCGACCTCTCGCCCACTTTTTTGGTTGGGAGGGAGGGTTCCCCGTGTCTAAAATAAACTACAGTGTGACTACAGAAAAAGAGTTGGTACCAACTTGTTCTAACCTCTCTACTGGAGGCCTAGGAAATCTACCGATTCAGAGGCGTAGCAAGAGATCCTCAGGGACAAAATCCATCCTGCACCATAACGTTTGTTGGCAGTTGCAGGGGGAATCAAATCCTTGTCCTTCCCGGGTGCTTTGGTAGTACCGGAGTTGGTCCATCCTGACCACACGCTCATGCAGCGGGGGATCCAAGAAAAAGCGTAGTTAGCGGTCCTATGGTTTGTCGGGGTCCAGCCACTGTTCCAGGGCCGGGATGTGATTTAGACACAGCACACGATGGGAAAATCACAGCTCCAACTGGGGATGTGCGAGAACTCGCAGACAAGGTTTCAACGGGGTCCCCCCCAATCCCAATAGGCGTAGGGCCTAGGGGCTAGGGTTGCTTTTCGGAGCTTTTTTTTGGGATTGACAACCTGAAAGGAGCCATTGCAAAGCATGAGTGACCACAAGGAGCCAATAACAAAAAATAGCCGCTCTCCGAATGGCTCCGCTTGTCATGGCTCTGAATAAACAGCTCGGATTCTCCATTGGACCCACTTTGAAGCGTTCTGCAGGGTTTCCGGGTGTCCCTTTTTGGAACCTGCCAAAGTGGGACGTCACCAGCAACTAGGTCCCCCCGCAATTGGTGCCCGCTCTTTCACCCCTTTTTTTGGGCAAGGGAGGGCAAGCCCCTGCTAAAATCGACAAAAAGGGATAAAGTTGGTACCAACTTCTTGGCACCTCTCAACTCTTTTCCGGACCTAGGCACGCTGGATCAACCTTTGATTCGGGGACATCCAGCCCCATCACTGGCTTCGGGCCTCAGGCCTCCAGCTCAAATCTCTGAGCTTCAAAGGGCACCAGGCTGTAGGTGTATCCTTCCTCTTTGCTTGAAGGGGACCCCACCTCTCCTCATTTCTTGAAGAACCCCCCAAGGGTGAAAGTAAGACATAGTTAACAGGACATAAACATAGCTTAGGTAACTATAGATCAAGCACTCCAGTCCAGAACAAGATGCCGTCGATAAATTGCATGGTGATACCATTCAACGAACATCGTCAGAAAGACATGAAGTAAAGCTATATGACATACTCATATAAAAGGGGTGGGGGTTCAACAGTTTAAGAAGGGCCTGGGGATGAATCGGGGGGATTTGTGGGATGCCCACCCCGGTCCCCTCCAAGTCTCCCCCCCGCCCATATACCCACCACCCGCCCCACCTCCAGGCCCCCCACCCCTCCCCACCCCTCGCCGTCAGGTGGCGCCTGGAAGCCACGGAGGTGTCGTTGCTCACCCGGGCCAAGGAGGCCCACCGCAGGTCCCTGCCGCCCCGCCAGCTGCCGGGACCCCCCAAGCGGGGGGGGGGGGCTATGGCGGGAGGGGGGGGGTTTATGGGGGCTATGGGGGGGAGGTGGTGTTCCAAGCCAAGTTTAGAAGTTTAAGTTGTTTTTTTCACACATTTGAAAACGCAATAAGATACAGTAAAGAACATTCTCCGAAATTGGTAGTGGTTCTTTAAGTGAATAACTATGGGGGTAAGGGGGGGGTTTATGGAGGTAAAGGTGGGGGGGCTAGTGTCGCCTGGGATGCTGGATGCGCTTGGCTCCCGGTGTGGGTGCTTTGGGCAACCGCGACTGTTGAGCTCTAAGACGACCAACTCCTTTTGATCCGGGTTTCAAGAAGTTGAACCAATCTGGAAGCTGCGGTGGAAGGCTCCTTTATTTCCGCCAGTTTTGATTCATGCCAACCCCTGCAAGAACAGCCCTGTACCTGGCCTGTTTTTAAGGGACGCCAGGAGATTGCTCAACGGCTGAAACGTGCAATGGTCAGGGCCGGCCACTGAGGTTGTGGCACCTTGCCACTTTGCTCACCATGGCCCGACGTTTCATCTCGCCGGACGACCATAACAATATGGCTGTGGCTCAAAAAACCGGAATTCCAAAATGGGTTGCCCCGGTAAGTGGAAACATGGACCAAAACCTGCGGTTTGCCCCTCCTGTTTAATTTTGAGCCACACCCATATTCCGGGAGGGTTCCACACACTTGGGGCGCCAACGTCCTGATGGACGTTGCGGCATTCGCAAAGAGTTTGGGTGCCTTCGATGGTTTGCATTTAAGACTCAAGCAACCAGCAACTTGAATCCCTGCTCCATGGCACAATTGTCCCCACCATGATTACCCATATTTACTTCCCACATTGACTCATATTAACACACATTTGCCTATATGTATACAGTTGTTTTTACCCTTGGCTACACATATGTACACATATTTGCCCTACTTGTCTACCTACATTTACCCATATTCACCTGTACAGAAATACCGTATTTGTACCTCTTTGCCACAGTTGTCACATATTTGCCAAACCTTTCCTTTATTTACCCATAATAATTTACATATATTTACCCATATTTACCCATACACATAAATATATATAGACCCATATACATATATATATATATATATATATATGATAATACACACCTACGTACCCATATATATATATATATATATATATATATATGTTCCAGGCCGTGGACCCCCCCCCCCCCCCCCCCCCCCCCCCTGTGGGGGTGGGGGGTGGGTGGTGGGGTGGTGGGGGTGGGGTGGGTGGTGGGGTGGTGGGGTGGTGGGGTGGTGGGGTGGTTGGGTGGTTGGGTGGTTGGGGTGTGGTTCGGAGTTGGTTTAGGCTTGGTGGGTTGGTTTAGGGTTGGTTCAGGGTTGGTTCAGGGTTGGTTTGCGGTGGGTTTCGGGTGGGTTTGGGGTTTGGGTTGATTTAGGCTTAGGGTTGGGGTTAAGGAGGGGTTGCAGGGTGGTTTGGTTTAGGGTAATGTTGGCACTTGATTAATAAAGGCCCCCCCCCCCCCGAACAATGGAGGCGCCAAAATAATGGGGGTGCACTTTTGGGACGTCCAAACAATGGAGGGTTTTGGGGCCCAATTCTACTTTAGTATTGCAGCCACTTCCTTTTTGCAGTTCTACTTTAGTATTGCAGCCACTTCCTTTTTGCAGTTCTACTTTAGTATTGCAGCCACTTCCTTTTTGCAATTCTACTTTAGTATTGCAGCCACTTCCTTTAGTATTGCAGCCACTTCTTTTTGCAATTCTACTTTAGTATTGCAGCCACTTCCTTTTTGCAATTCTACTTTAGTATTGCAACCACTTCTTCCTGAGCAGACTTTTTGGAATACTACTTTAGTATTGCAACCACTTCTTCCTGAGCATACTTTTTGGAATACTACTTTAGTATTGCAACCACTTCTTCCTGAGCATACTTTTTGGAATACTACTTTAGTATTGCAACCACTTCCCTTTCAGTTCTTTCTGTAGCCATTCAAAGGAGTTTGCAGTTTCAGGGCTGGGGATGGTTTTCAACGTTTCTGAGGTACACAATCTTCAGCTTGTTGCTGAAGGAGATTCAGAGTTTGGGGGGGGGGATGGTTTTTTAATTAAATTTGCTTTGTGGAGTTTTTTTTTGAATTTTCCCCCTGGCCAAAAAAACTTTCTATTATTCTGGTCCCCTTAAACAATCACATTATTGTGGTTCAGTGGGGTCTGTGAGGGGTACCCTTGTCCTGATTGTTTTTTTTGCATTTTTTTAGCACGGTTTAATAAAGAGTTTGCAGTTTCAGGGCTGGGGATGGTTTTCAAATTTCTGAGGTACACAATCTTCAGCTTGTTGCTGAAGGAGATTCAGAGTTTGGGGGGGGATGGTTTTTTAATTAAATTTGCTTTGTGGAGTTTTTTTTTGAATTTTCCCCCTGGCCAAAAAACTTTCTATTATTCTGGTCCCCTTAAACAATCACATTATTGTGGTTCAGTGGGGTCTGTGAGGGGTACCCTTGTCCTGATTGTTTTTTTGCATTTTTTTAGCATGGTTTAATAAAGAGTTTGCAGTTTCAGGGCTGGGGATGGTTTTCAAATTTCTGAGGTACACAATCTTCAGCTTGTTGCTGAAGGAGATTCAGAGTTTGGGGGGGGGGATGGTTTTTTAATTAAATTTGCTTTGTGGAGGTTTTTTTTTGAATTTTCCCCCTGGCCAAAAAAACTTTCTATTATTCTGGTCCCCTTAAACAATGGGTGTGAACCAGAATAAGGAAAAAACTTTCTATTATTCCGGTACCCTTTACTAATCGAATGCCAACATTAGGATGTTGCGAGAGGTGCGGGGGTGTTGGTTCACGGGGTGAAAGGGGAGTCTGGGACCGAAGCTGCAGGGCTCACGGTACTGGACAGCATCCCCAGCATTGCCAGCATCATCCCCAAGATGCGGATGATGCGGGGGAGTGGGGGGACCATACCATTGGGGGGGGGGGGGGTACGTGGCCCAGGGACTGGTACATATATATATATATATATATATAGAAATACACCTGTACATATCCACAATGAATAGGCTGAGCCCCACATGTTTTCGGGGCTCTTCGCCGAGGCCCTGGGCGGCTCCGGCAGCGCCGCACGAGCCGGAGGCAGCCGCCACGGCCAAGGCGCGGCGCTGCGGGTTTTCGGGGCGCAAGGTTGCCAAGCAACAGGGGCCAAGCATAGCTGTCCTTTCTTCCCCAGAAGCGCCCCTTTCTTTTGGGCTTTTTTGGGGTCCCTTTGTTTTCCATTAACCAGGCAAAAAAGATCATTTTTTGCTGGGGTCCTAGCTTCTTGGTTGGTTTGCTTAAAAAATGGAGAGCGATTCCTGGTTTAGATGGTTGGTTTATGCCCCATTTACCAGGGAACCCCATCTATTTTGCCAACAGGCCACCTATGGGGCCAAGGCGTTCGGGCGCATACCATCGCTGGCCAAAACCCTAAGTTCCAAAACACTTCCTGGTTGAAGAGGTGTGCTCGATTCAAAGTAGGGAAACCCCGAAGCCGTTGCACCTTGCTGACTTTGTATTGTAGGTCCCCCAGCTAGGTGTCCGACCTCTCACCGGAGGGTTCCCCGTGTCTAAATTAGACAGAAAAAAAGTTGGTACCCTTAGTCTAACCTCTCTACTGGAGGACTGGGCTTAGTGGCGGTCAATCTGGGTTTGGGGAGGAAGACCAAGCCGAAAGACACAACCATTGCTGAAAAGAACATGTTATACTTCCCCTGGTTTTACAGGAAGTAGATCACTGGACATATTTGCCATATTTTTCTCGGGGACGAACAAGCAAATGGAGGACGATGATGTCTTTGCATATGCTTCTGAAAGTAGGAATCCGTCCAGCTCCTCAAATGGATTTTGAGGAATCGGATGGTTTTCCTTTTGGTTTGCCTTGACAACCAACCAAACAAGGGTACCAACTCAAGAAAAGACAACCAAGCGGGATTCGGACCCCGCTTTTATATATATATATAACGAAACTGAAAGGAACCAACCCATGTTGGGGTTTTCCAACCTATTTGGGGGTCCCACATGAGCCATAAGAGCCATGGGATGGGCTCAACTCGAGGGTCCCTAGTCTCAGTGAGTCAGCTCGCAGAAAACATGTTGATACTGTGGTGGTTGCGACATCCATTTCGCACCACCGTTCAGAAACCCTGGAATCTTTGGTGCATTTTGCTCGGATGTTAGGACTTTAACTTTTTGCAATCTAATGGGTTTTCCGAATTAAACCACTAAAAGTTAAACTTTTAGCAGGGGAGCAGAAAGCAACCGAGGAATGATTCGATCTTTCTGTAAAATACCAGCAAACAGTGGTTTCTCTTATGGATTCAAAGTGGTGCGAAGTGGATTTCGTCCATCCACAATACTTTTTAGGTCGAGAAGATATGAAGCAGAATCTGAACATAGTATTGGTGTATCCTGGGGGCTAAGGTTAGGTGATGGGAAAGGAGCGCACCGGCAATCTTTGGAGAGTCCATCGTGGTCAAAACCCTGAATTTGAAAATACTTTCTGGTTGAAGAGGTGTGCTCGTCTCAAAGCAAAAAAACAACAACACTAGTCGGTTTCCTTTCGGCTTTTGGCTGACCCTTTCCCACCAAGAGCGGTTGCTCTAAAATATGAAACCGGAAGGTCCTCTGAAAGCGCATGGGGTCCAAGGGCGTTGCGCACATGCGCGGGGATTTCCCGCCCGCGATTTCTCTCAGCGCTCGAAGTGGCGCCCGACAACGAAATTCCGCGACAACGCGAAGCCGCGGCAGCGCAAGATGTTCTGAGATCAAAACCACTTTGGCAGTCCCAAGATGTTCAGCTTAGCCCGCGGCAGCTCAGCTCAGCTCAGCTTCAGGATAGGAATCGGCTTATTTCCAAAAATGAGTGATGGGTTTCCTTTGCTTCTTCCTTTACCTCCGGCCAAAAGGGGTTCCAAGCTCCATTTTCTTGGTGGTTCCCAGCTTAGGTTTTTAGTTTGTTAGGGTTTGGTGGCAGTTTCCACTAAAAGGTTTCGACTAACGGGCAGCCTAGTTTTGAACTGCGGTGGACAAAATCCATTTCGCACCACCTAAGAAACCCTGATTCCAACAAACAATGGTTTCCCATGGAGAATCCCTTGCAAAACCTGGGTAGATGAAGGCTAGCAAGGGATAATTTTGCATAGATGGGTGCCTGAAGGCCGCGTTTGAAATTATTTACACGGTTCTCCTTTCAAATTATTTACACATTTCTTATAAAAACCATTTTAATACCGATCGGTTTTGATTGTGACTCAACTGAAGAATACCTTCCTCTTTCGGGGTATATGAGGAACCGGGCTATCGGGGTGGGAGTGATGCCATTCAAATGACTCGAACAAATTGGGAAGCTCCAACTTTCTGTCAGCCTTGAAACTCATGCCTTGGTCTGTCCAGCAAAGTGAGAGAGGATCCAATTGGAGAAGTTGGTCGGGACCCAAGTCAAATTTAAGGAGAACCATCTCTCAAATATAGGTTTAGCTAGGGTTAATTATTTCCCAGCCAGTCTGGGTATTTTTTTGATGGGGTGATTGTTGAGATGATACTGGGCTATCCTAGGTTTTTGGGGCACCTTGACCCAAACCAAGCATGACGCAGACTCTGCACTTGCGATTTTCGCCGCATCCTGGATGTGAGCCCTTTGGCATGGTAAAGCTAAACTTGCTGCGGGAGTCGAGAGAATCTGTTTTTGGGAGACCGCCAAGGTACCCAAAATTGCCCCTTGGTAGATGGAACCAAAGACCGAACCCCGGCACTTTAAACTTGAGCCACACCCATATACCTATATATATATACATATATGTGCATACATATGTTAAAGTGGAACTAACTGCGTACACACCTGATGACCTAAATGTGTCAAACATGGCTCATGTCAAGAGCTGCTTCCCTCGTGGCTTTGCTACGGATCCGAGTGTCGAAGCTTCGAGCGGCCAGGAAGTGCTGCAGAGCCTGGGGAACCCTCCACCTCTGCCGCCAAAGCCGCCGGCTGCCGGGTATCCGGGCTTCCAGGCATCGGTGGTTGGGTGGGTTGGGTGGTTGGGCGGTTGGGTGGTTGGGCGGTTGGAACTGGGAGTGGTGCAGTGTTTGGTTTCCGCATTTAACCCACCAGTTTTCGCCTTTTGTTGTGGGGATCAGAAAAAGGACAGCCCGGTACACGAGTGTTTGAGCGTGCACGAGTTGCACCTTGCTCGCGAGTGGACAGGTGCCACGTTGGTTTGCTCTTTGGATCCCTGAGGTGTCAGGTTAAGTCATAGGATTTGAAGAGGGGCCCGCGGTCCGGAGTGTGAAGGTTTTTGTTCATGCCAACCAGTTGGCCTAGCCCAACACTCTTTCAATGGAACTTCTTCCGATATTTGACTAGTTTTGAGAACAGGTGTTCTGGTCGATAGATGGATGTCACTGCTTGCTTCGTTCTAACCAATTGCCTTTTGCATTTCCCCTCCTTTGGTGGTTTTAAATTGAACACCCACCACGAAAGCCCGACCCATTTTGGGGTCCCGGTCCGATTCGTGAAAGACGAATTTGTTTCTTTAGGGCTTCTTTCTAAAGCCTTCAAATCGATCCCCTTGGCCAAAAGGGACCCCAGATGGGTTCCGTCCAGGGCTCCACAGGAAAAGTTGGCATTGAAAAACAAAAACACATGTTCAACATCTCTGTTTGGCAATACGTGAGTTTCAAGGGTCGGATGATGTTGGGTTAGACATCTTGAACCTGGTCACTTTCAGGCTTTTGGAGAAACATAGGCGCCGAACTAATACACAATCATGACGACACCGTGTGAAACTCCCCTACAGTCCTAATTTTGGTGTTGAATTTCAGTCCGGCCTTTTGTTCGGCGTCCATCTAGAAAACAGTTTGGATGCGCTTGTGGGTTTTCCACGGTTTTTCCCCTGTTGCTCCGTTTGCGTGGATTTTTTATCACTCTTTTTTCAGCACCAGGGGTGATGGCATTTCGCTCCAAATCGTCGTCTTCTTTGGAGCCCATGGAGGAACTTCAGATCGCGGCATTATCCTAGCTTGACGGAAGCCGTATTCCATTATAATGGCATAAGTTGGTTGGATCTTTGGACTCTGTAATTTTCGGGGGCAACGGCGGTTTCTCCGTTGGATAAACTTTTTGCAGAGGGGTCGTTGCAACCAAGATTCAGTACAAAGCCTCGTCTTGACTTGTAGCCTGTCCGCGTTGCCACGGAACCTGCTGGGTTCATTTTAAAGGAGACTCCTCCACGCCCATTCCAAAGGAAACTCGTCCAAATCACCGAAACGTCAGGCTCAACATGTCGGAGGGGGGGAGGGTATTTTCAGTGAGTGTCCTCCATTTTTCCTCCGGCCCAACGACCAACCGAAGGGGGGGGGGGGGAGGGCAAAACGCAAAACCCTGTGCTCGTCTTCAGGGCCCCTTCGAGGGCGATGCGTTCAGCCGGCGCTCCGGCAGCGCAAGGCCCGCCTTAAAAAATCACTCCAGAAGCATGATTCCCCCAAAAGAACGGGTGGTATTTGTGCAGCTGGCTGGTCACGACCTCTGAGGTAGGGCGATAAAAGGATGGCTAGGATTCTTCTTTGGGGTTGGAGTCTTCCGTTTCCTGAAATGAACAATTATTGCTTTTCTTGTTGGTGTCAATGGGAATCGATTTCACTACTCAGTTTTTTTTATATCCGTGATTTCTGAAATGGAAGAAATCTCGGGATTGCAGCCGGTAGATTGTTGCAGCCCGTAAATTGTTTTCACAGCAACGTGTTGCGGCCTGCAAAATGTGCCTTTCTTCAAAGCAACAGGCCGGCGTTTTGCAGGTAGTTTGAGCCTTCTCAAGGCAACACGGCCTTTAAAGGCCTGTTGCAGCCTTTTAAGTGTGGAAGCGGTCCAACAGCAACTGAGCAAAAAGGAACCTGTGTTGGGGGAAGAGGCATTCCCGAAATTTATTGCTTGAGACGAGGTGAAACAGCGGGTTTGCTGAGATGACAGAACCACCTGTTCCGATCCACCAGCAACTTTTCGGGGAGCCCAAAACTTGACTGCTATTGGGTTGGATCTTTAGACTTTAACTTTTTGGGAAATCAAGGGATTCTCCACAAACCCCCCAACAAGTTAAACTTTTTGCAGGGGATCAAGAGCAACCAAGAAAAAAGACTCCAATTCGTCCCCCAGTGGTGGGCCATCGGCTCGGGTCCTTTTTGAGATCTGGGCGGCCTTCCCAAGAACTCTACCCGCTGGTTGGTGGCCCATTCACAGTCCTGTGCGGGTCTTTGCGCGTGGCCTCCTTTGAAAATTCCTCCCCAATAACAAAACAAGACAAAAACAACAAATACAAGAAAGCAAGCAACGGCAAATCCTGGTGGTTGTGACACTTGCCCATGTGCTTCAATTTTTTTGTTAGGTTATGTCAATTTGTTTGGGTGCTGCATGAGTCAGGCAACGTAATGTGTGCTGAGTCCGCCTCAGCAAGGACTCTGTGCGCTGCTTGAAGTTCCCTTTCCTGGATACCACATTTTGCGGTTTTTCTCCAGATTACTGTTCGGTCCCGGTTTCCCTTAAAACCCATTTAGAGCGTCATCTTGCACCCAGCTTTCCCAATCTCGCGGCCTACTGCGGGGCAAAATCCTGCACCGCTTGAAAACGATGTCAAACCATTGTTTGTTGGTATTTACAGGAGAATCATCCGGAACTAGGGTCTTTGAACGGTGGTGCCTAAGAGGATTTCGCAACCATCCACAGTAGGACACCAAACCACCAACACCAAAACCAAAGTAAGCCAACCCATCCCAGTTGGGTGTGTCTTCCCCTTTCTCTACTGCTGTTGGGTTGGATCTTTAGACTTTCACTTTTTGGATTCCCCTCATATTTCCTTTCAACCAGCAAGTTCAACTTTTTGCTGGGGGACCTACAGCACCCTACAGGTCCAGCCGCTCCGACCTCCGCGCCGGCAGCATGGACCGCATCACGCAGCCCGGCTCCGCCTCGCGCGCGTTGTCCGCCTCGGGCGGCGTGTCGGCCGGCGGCCGGGCGTCGTCTTTGCGGAGCCGGCAGCAGACGCCGGCGGCGGCGGCGTGTCGGCGCTTGGCGTCCAAGGGGAGGCTTTGAGGTTGGTATGGGTCAAAATGAAACCAACACATGGTTGTTGTTGGGAAGCATTTTACATGTTTGCTTGCTGTGGTTTAGTGGGACATCCCCACTTAACTGCTAAAATGCAAATTGTTGCTCCCCTTCCAACGTCAACCAAGAACAGGGCACCGCAGGTCAAATCGTCCATGTTTCCACTTGCCAGGGCAAGCCATTTTGACTACCCACTTTTTGACCACCACAGCCAGGCAGATGCAGGTGCTGAGGTTCTGGTCGGCTTTCGACCCCGGAGACCACTTACAACTCCTGAGTCCCGTTGCCTTAACAATACCGTCCAGGGTTGTGGTTGATCTCTCGGGGTTTCTCCCCACTTCTGTGATACAAGTTGGAATTTCCCTTATGAACACAATAGTCTTTTGGAAAGCCCTTTCCGTTGTATCACAGAAGTGGATTCCATTCCCCACAGCCCTGATACCGTTTTACTGGCATGAAGAGTTTGGTAACTGTTGTGCCATCGGAGGTGAGGCTCCGATTTCTCAGTTCGGCACCTTCCCACTCGCGCGGCTTGCTTGGGTTGACTCCTTCTCTTTGCTGCATTTTTGCCAAGGGATGTTAGGACTGAGCAACTTTTTGCCAACTAAGTCGGGTTTTCCGTATTAAACCACTAAAGGTTATAAACTTTTAGCAGGGGAGCAGATTTCGCAACCGAGTTTTGGCCGAGCTCCAAAGACGAGCTCAAACAAATCTCTTGCGGCGAGCTGCCGGTGCAAAAGCCGGGTCTGAAGCCCGGGTCGTGTACAATATGCGGTCGGCCATGCGGGGTTTCCCACATATTTCCCCCTTTTTCTCGTTTTAAATTCAGCACCTTGTTGGCCATTGCATCTTTTTTTTTTGTGTGTGTGTGTGTGTGCTTTGGGGAAATTGTCCAAAACTGGTGGATGTCCTTTAGCAAACCCTGTAACAGACCACAAAGAAGGGGCAAAAAGAAAACAGACACGCCCATGTATGGGTTATGAAATCGGGGAACCCCCGTGGCAGAGAGCAACTCGTGCCGGGAGAGCGATTCGCAGATGCACGGAGCGCAAGCGCGTTTGAATAGCTTACACGAGGTTCGTTCGCGAGCTATGGCCCATTGTTCCAAAGTCACACCTTCCAAGTGGTAGGTTGAAACAATTCCAGTTGACTTTCACCCCCAGAACATGTCCCTGGGCTTCAACCCTCATTAAAACAATGGTTGATGAAACCGTGAATGATGAAATTCCTTAGATAAATCATGCTGGTTATATTATCCTCTTTGACTTTGTGGTTGTTTCAGGGATGTCAAATGGCCCCAAAATAGTATCATGCCATTTCCCTTACTTTGGACACAACTATGCCCCCCTCCCCCGCTCCCGCAGTTTTCCGGGCGTCTTCACGTAGGTCCCCCCCCCTGCTTCCCCCCCCGGCCCTTCGTGTCTCCCTTGAAAATTCTGCAGAAGGGACGTTACGGAGCAGGGCTGACCAAGCACTGCAAGCGGCTTGGTTGATTGCCTTCTTTTTGACAAGAAAGTCAAGGCAAAACATGATCTTTTGAGCCAAGCCCAAGCGCGGTTTCGTTCTCGACGGCACGGGGAGCCGTCCGGGCGCGGTGAGAGTCGGCACGCGCCGTGTGCTAATGAGGGGCGCAGGTCAACCTGGTGCAGAAGCCACCTGAGCTTCGGAAAAGGAGATCAGCGGCCGCCATCGCCCGACTGAGATGAATTAGCCTGAGGCTTGAAGGTGGCAGCAAGATACTGTGGATGGACGAAATCCATTTCGCACCACCTAAAAACCCTGCGGTGATGCTTCCCCTGTAAATACCAACAAACAATAGTTTGCTATGGTTTCAAAGTGGTGCAGGATTTCGTCCACCCACAATAGGTGTGCCTTTTTTTGATACCCGTTTTTTTGGCAGGAAGAGGGAGAACCGGAATCCATTTGGCGGCCCGGTCCGATTCCTACAAAAAAAAAGAAGCACACCCAGGTTTTGTGCACCTTTCGTGCCAGACTTGATCGTGGCAGGGGTTCGGTGGTTTGTGTCTGATTTGTTTCTAGTCTGAGTCCTCTAATGACTTGCTGGTGCTCAGTAGGGAATGACCTTGCAGGTGTTGGGAATGAACCGCAAAGGGATTCTCTTAAAGGACACCATGGGATGAATTATAGGGGTCCATCAGCAAGATGACAGATGACCTGGGATAAATCAGGACCGTACTTGTATCAGAAGGACCTGATCCATTTTATGGTTCCGCTATGTTCCGCTGATCAGGGTCCTTCAGATTAGTTGATCCGAGCTTAACATTTGGCCATGGGTCAAAATCCAAATCGTACCCCAAGTGAACATCCCAATCCAACCACTAAAACAGGTTCTAAAATGGGTGGTGAATTCACCTGCCCCAAAATGGCACTATTGGTTTTGACAGCAATTTGACTCTTCATATCTCACTTTGGCCCCCTGAACTGCAGTGAGGCTCCGCCAATGGCTCAGCACGCGATCCCCATCCCCTAGATTTGAGGGCGCCTGATCTCTGGGTAAGCCACGGTTTCTAGTTTGAGATGGTTAAAAAGGAAAGCCAGCGGGGGTTTCACCCTTGAGTTTGAGGGTCAGAAGGGCTTGTTGAGCGGACCCCCAAAAACAAGCGGTTTTACTTTTTGCGTTCCTTTAAAACGACCTCCAACAGGATACCCTGAAACAGACACACCCAGTTGAGACAAGCATATATATATATATATATAAAGTATTATCAAGCGGAACGGAAGATGGGGCAAATTGCCAGTGATGCACAAGACAACCACAAGGAGGTTGTCCGGGGTCTCCTCCAAACCTATTGTTGATTTGAGGGTTGCCTAAATATGGAACAGATCTAGACGTTGATTCCCCATTCTTTTCAGCCATCGTTCTTTTCAATCCCCAGCCATTTCCCCAAATTGTGTGGTGGTTTTCCAGAAAGATCCGGATCCCTGGAAAGAATGGAAATGGAAGTTACCTCTAGTTACCTGTACCCCAAGGGAATGGGAGAACCCAACGTGGATCGACGTCTGACTGAAGTGACTTAGATTTCCCATCGATGCCATGGCGCCTCCGAGTTTTCCGCAGCCGCCGCCTTTTCGCCACGGATGCGAAGGCGAACCGCCCGAAAAACGAACCGGCGCTCTGCGAGTATAGCATGCCTAGGCCTTTCAGCTAGGTGCCCTTCTCTCCTCTTTTTTGGGCGAGGGAGGGTTTCTCCGTGTCTAAAATAGGCAACAGAAAAGAAGGGTAGCCTTACTGTAACCTCTCTTCTGTCTACTGGAGGACCTAGGAGTATAGCATGCTGCTTCCGCGGTTCAGTGGCAATCCGCAAGATCCTTGGGCTACTTGTAGGGATTTGGTTGACCCTGGAAGTATTAAGCCCCTATGAATGAACCTTTTCAATGTTGTCCCCGGATAAATAGACCCCGGTCCACGAATATGGGTTGTGGGCCGCTCCAAGAGTGATGAATCCCCACTAAACCTGAGAGAGAGAGTTCATGCAACATGCATCGTGACACCTTCTTCGGTGTATAAGGCTATTGGCCGCCTTCAACCTCAATCATGGTGGTCCGACCAACACATGGCTTTCACCCGGCATCGCCCAAAAGGAGCGACCGACCTGTCGGCAACAAAGGAGCTTGCCCGACCAATTGCCCGACAATCGATTTACGCACAAAGCGAGATGAAACCAACATTTGCATTGCCTAGGTCCCCCAGTAGTGCCCTTTTACCCTTTTTTGGGCAAGGGAGGGTTCCCTTACTAAAATAGACTACAGAAAAAAGGGTACCCTTATTCTAACCTCCCTACTGGAGGACTTAGTTGCAGATATGTAGTACAGTCGGCTGCTTTTCCACCGTGCCGGCTCCACTTTTTGACAATAATCACAACTTGGGCTTAGTCTTGGAAGGAAGCAACCCAGAAAAGTGTGCTTCACTTGCTGGTTTCCAGGAATCCCCTCAGGTCTTGCTTCAGGCTCTTAGTTGGTTTAGTGGTAGTTCTCACTAAGCAACAAGTTGAAGAAAACGATTTGGAGAGGGATCACGGAATTTCCCCAAATCAAAAGTTGGAGGTTCCAAGGGGCATGGCTCGGAAACCAGCCTGGGCAAGGCCCAGGGCTGGTTTCCAGCAAGAAGTTTGTTCGCCCTGCAAGAAGCTTCACTTTTTGCGGGTCCAATGAACCATTCTCCGTTTGAAAGTTGAAGTCCAAAGATCTGGGTGAATTATAGCGACCTCGCACGACCGAATTCACCCCAAATGGTGGTTTATGTGCCCCTCAACTACCACAAGTTTCAGGTTGGTGAAATATTATAATTCACCGACCCAGAAAGATAAAACAATCGAGTTTTGTTGGTTCGCCCTGCAAACACCTTAACTTTTTGTGGGTCCAATGAACCATTCTCCGTTTGAAAGTTGAAGTCCAAAGATCCGAAGCCTTAAACAGGGCTCCTTAAAAGATCTCCATTTTGCCACCATTTGAAACATCTTGCATTTCAACACCAAGATAAAGGGGTAAACCACCATTTTTAAGTTGCAATGTTCAGGTGTATGATGCATCCGGATCACTGTTAACTTTGGTGCATGTTGCCAAGGGATGTTAGGACTTTCACTTCTTGCCAACTAAGTCCGGTTTTCCGTATTCAACGGCTAAAAGTTAGTCAAACTTTTAGCAGGGCTTCGCGGATTTCGCCACCGAAAGAGTCGGTGGCGGGTACGCCTCCCCAGCGAGCTTTCGACAGGCCAAGCTCTCAGAGCTCAACTCGGCGGCCGGGGTCCCGTGGGCGTGGGCTCGGGCGAGTGGACATCGGGGGCCCAGCCTCAGGCCATGAGAAAGGGACACTCGTTCATGTTTCTTTCTTTTTTTTTTGGGGTGGGGGGGCCTTTTTGAGCTCATTTTTTTTGTTGGGGGGGCCGTTTTTGAGCTTATTTTTTGGGGGGGGCCTTGTTTGAGCTTTTTTGAGCTTGGTAGAAAAGGGACGCCAAGAAAAAGGAGCAAGCTCCACATTTTGGGGGGTCGCCCCTCAAAGTACCCATGAAAAAGGGACCGGCTCGTGAGTGGATCAAACATCAAAGACCTCTTCTTGAAAGCGTCCACCTTCGCAAGGCCTACACACGTGACAACCTCCCTTAACGTTGGAAAACAGTGTGCAGGGTGACGGTGGCTTTTTGAGCTTGGTTGAAAAGAGAAGCCAAGCCGGAACACAAACAAAATCCTTTGACTTTGCAGAAATGCCGTTGGAACTTTGAAACGTTTGACTTGTTTTGGCCGAACCTCCTAAGTTCTTGAACTTTGGTCACTTTTGGGAAGACCTGTTTAGTGGTAAAGAACAAGTTTGGACGTTGTTTGGCCAACTCGCTCACCGAATTTTCAGTTTGGTCTTTTTAGAAGGGCCCAACAATGGAGTCATCCCTTAAGAAAAACCTCTGATAATTCTCGAGGGGTTGTTGACATTCATCAACAATAACTCTGTGTCCTATGGGCGTTCCCTAAATGTTCGCGCTTCGCACTCAAATGATTGGTGTGCCGGGAGATACGCCCCTTGCTGCGGTCTTGGTTTTCACTGATTTGGGCGGGCCCCGGGTATCAAAGTTAGAAGCTGGGGTTTCCCTTTGACCTACCACTTCTAGGTCACCCAGTAGTGCCCTTTCTCACCCCTTTTTTGGGCAAGGGAGGGTTCCCCTACTAAAATAGACTACAGAAAAAGGGGCACCCTTATTATAACCTCTCTACTGGAAAACCGGGGCTGCCGGGGGCCGACGAAGGGTGGATTGAGTTGACACAAGCCAGGATCCACCACCCTTCAAACATGTCAGCGTGGCTTCAAGGCTAGTTTAGGGCTGGTTTAGGCTGGGTTAGGGTGGGTATAGAGTGGGCTTGGAGTTGGGGGTAGCGGGGGTAGCGGGGTGGCGTAGTTCCATTCTCCTTTTTGGGACTAGACAAATGGAGCTGGAGACCTGAAGCCCGGAGTGTTGCTTTGCACGTGAAACTTTGGCCACATCGAGGGAACCCCGGTTTTGGGGGGGCCTAAAGAGTCAGCTTGAACCCGACACCAAAACGGGTACCTCAAAAAGCAACGCACCCAATTCTGCTTGAGATCATCTTCCTTGGGGCTGCCGAGCTTGAGCAACATGGTTTTGTCTTTGCGTTTCGCTGAAGCTATACGTATTCTGTGCACCTGCAGTCTCCATGATCCTCAAATGGGTCATGTCCCCTTGAGCAAATGACTCCATTGTGTTCAGGGGCATCAAGACTCCATGTGGGGGTTGATCAAAGGGTCCTTTGTATGAATTGACCATTGGTTGGAAAACCACAAAAAAAACATATGATATTCCCACATGGGAGAAGTTACGCATGGTCAAACTTGGGGTCCCTAAACAGAGTATTCCGATCAACCCCGAACCAACCCCGAATCAATTTCTTTCTAGGACACATCAGACCAAAAAGACGAAAAACTGCAACACCTCCCAAAGCCTTGTTTTTTTCCTATTTCCCAAAAAAACAACAACCACCCAACATCTCCTTGCAGGGGTCTCCACCTGTTGATGGCAAACCCCATGGCCCCTCCCGTGGCGCCGGCCAGCGCTCAACCGACGCGCCTCAGACGTCAGGCGGAGCGCGGGGACGCGGGCGCCGCCGAGGCGCTGCTGGAGAAGTCGCAGGCCACGCCGCGGGTGGCGTGGAACACGGCGCTCAAGGCACGGGGTGAACGGGAGGGCGCGCGGTCCGTCAACGGGAAGGGGGGGAGGGGGGGTGGGAATGGCGTGAGGTCCATGGGGTCAAAAGGGGTTGGGGGGGGTGGAGGGGGGAGGGTGGAAGAGGGTGTGGCAGGGGGCGGAGGGGGTGGAGGAGAGGGGTAGGAGGGGGGAGGGAGGTGGGGGGTGGAGGTGGGGGAGGGGAGGGGGGCAAATCACCTCGATGGAGTATGATTGTAACTCATCCGGGGCGCTTCGCGCGCCAAATTGAAGAGCCTTTCTTGATCCAGGGTTGATGGCATCCATTGGCCTGCTAGGTGCCCTTTCACCCTTTTTTGGGGGAGGGTTCCCTCCTAAAATAAACAGAAAAAGTTGGTACTTCTATCCTCTCTACTGGAGGACCTAGGATTCCAAGGGACTTGTTTACAAGTGACGGAGATGGCCGGCAGGTTGTGCCCAGCCTTGAAGCACGGCCAGGAATGATGGAAGGGATATTGTCCAGGGTTCCCTATAGTTCCTTCCTTTTTTGCGCCAAAAGGAAGCTTACTTTAAGTGGCTCAAACAGGTGATGTAAACTAGAAGGGAGACATCTAGTCGGATGTGTCTTTGTTTCGGGGACCACCAAACTGGCCTCGGTTTTCCTTTAGGCTTCCCTAAAACAAGTACAAAAGCCGTACCAACCCCAAAACATACACGCCCAGTCGGACCTGTGAAACATCGCCATAGCTGGTATTTGGTATGATCTAACATGATGTCCACTACCCAAACCAAAGCTACCCCCAGGGATTGAAATGGGATATACAACCATGTAGTCACTACCACTAACTAACTAGGTACACCGCCCATAGTAGCCCGTGTCATATTGTGCGTTTTGTTTGGCTTCGGAGCAATCTGTCGAAGCTCCGATTACAGGGGGGAAAGGAGAGCACCGTCTGTCCCTCATGTAAAATGCGCCGAGACAGTGGGGAATTTCTTGCTTTCCCGATTCGCACTGGCACGCTGCTCTGAAAAGCTCATTTTTCCACCCCCCAACTATCGTGTGTCAAAAAAAATGCCATGTTCAAGACCGCATGTTGTCTAGGAACCGCATGATGAACTCTCTTTTAAAAAACCGACGGGGGGAGGGGTCCTTAGTCTGTTCTTCACCCAAAGAAATTTCCCCAAATCTTTGTCGGTTTTTCGGTTGCAGGCAACACACAGGCTTCTGAGGAGTCAGCATCGTGTGCCAGGCAGTTTGCCATGTTCAAGACCGCATGTTGTCTAGGAACCGCATGATGAACTCTCTTTTAAAAAACCGACGGGGGGAGGGGTCCTTAGTCTGTTCTTCACCCAAAGGTTAATTCCCCAAATCTTTGTCGCTTTTTCGGTTGCAGGCAAACACAAAGGCTTCTGAGGAGTCAGCATCGTGTGCCAGGCAGTTTGCCATGTTCAAGACCGCATGTTGTCTAGGAACCGCATGATGAACTCTCTTTTAACAAAGCCGACGGGGGGGAGGGGTTCTTGGTCTGTTTTTCACCCAAAGGTTAATTCCCCAAATCTTTGTCGGTTGCAGGCAAACACACAGGCTTCTGAGGAGTCAGCATCGTGTGCCAAGCAGTTTGCCATGTTCAAGACCGCATGTTGCCTAGGAACCGCATGATGAACTCTCTTTTAAAAAGCCGGCGGGGGGAGGGGTCCTTAGTCTGTTCTTCACCCAAAGGTTAATTCCCCAAATCTTAGTCAACCTATGTGGGCATACCGTGACAGCAGACACATGGGGTCCGCTGGTTAACACGCGACGTCCAGAAGAAAGTCCAAGTAAGGCAGCCAGACAGTGAACAAAAAGGGCCCAGCACCGAGTGTTTGGAGAAGCAATGCGAGATGCCAGCGAAACGCAGCAAGATGATGAAGGCAAGCGCTAGACGAACGTCTTCTGACACCATGGTTTGGGCACAAGGAGCTACGGCAAAACAAGACAGCTCAGCACACTAACAAAGAACACCACACACTCCACAGAACAGGAAATAAAGAAATTCTTGTCAAGCAAACTCGAAGAAGTGACGCAATCATGCCCCCCCCACCCCCCACCCCCCCACCAAAAAACAATCAAGCACAAAAAGCACGAAAAAATGGAGTTCAAGCACAAAAAACACAAAAAATGGAGTTCGTTCCACGGGCGGCTGTGGGTGGTGGTCCAACTAATTACCCAACAGACTTACTCTATATACAACCACTGTATACTTAATGGACATTTCGCATATATATATATATATTTATTTATAGAACCAGTATACCACAAAAGAAGCAGCCATGAATCTCACCGTTTTCCAACCTGGGGGGTAGTGGTTCAGGGGAGCCATGTTAACGTGACCGACCAAGCCGAAGCCGAGGCCTACGCCAATGCCGGAGACGTTCAGGGCGCCGAGCGGCTTTTCCAGGCGAAAGCGGGGCTGCAGCAAAGCTTTCACCGAGCTCGGTGCTTCGTTTTGCTTTTTGATTTGAAAGGAAAGCCGAAATACATGATAGAAATGGACTGACCCTGAAGATTTTGACCCTCCAACTGGTGGTTTCCGTTAAGGGGACCAAAGCCTGGGTTCATTCCCACATTCTCTCCGGCAAGCAAAGTTCCCCTCATTCCCTGCTGAGAACTAGCAAGTTTACTCACTTCCAAGCGTGGCTTTCTCGTTTCAATGGAAACCACCAGTAAGTTGATCAACCTTTGATTTGAGGAAATCCAGGCAGCCCCTAACGAACAGAAAGCCACGTACACACACACACACACCCAAAAAAACAACTCCCCACGCAACACACCAATCCGAGCAACAAAACCCAACCATTCAACAACCAACCAAGTTCGATGCGGTTCCATTTTTTACGCCTTTCACGCAACAACTGCGTGGGTTTGTTAAAGGGAAGCCGAAAGGACGTCATAGCGACTTGCGCTCCCTTTGTTGGTGTTGGGTTGATTGGCGAAAGGTCGCTCCCTCTTCGAGACCTGATCCTGCACGAGTCTCGGTGTGCCGTGTTTTGTTTGAGGCGATGTTGTCTTCCAGCTTCTGCAATCGAATGGCTCGAACAGGTGGGACACCAAAAAGGCAGCCTCAGAAGACACACTGAAATGGGTTTAGGCTGGGTCTGAACTGCGAGACACCTAGCCTGGTTGATTTTTGACTGGTTCTTTTGACCTTCCCGGGCCATAAACCTGGGGAAAAGGGAACACGGGCTCTGTATGGAAGCTTAGGTCTATGAACCTCCTTTAGGGTTGTTTTTTGAAAACAATAGAAACATGTCCAGGTCTATGAACCTCCTTTAGGGTAGCTATATATATATATATATATATTTAAAAACTAAAGAAACATGTCCCCAGTCTCCGTCAGAAGTGCTCGACCTTCTGGGGGGGAGCCGATTTTGGGTCATGCTTCGTGGGAACCGAATCCTTTCGTTTGAGGGACCCTCAGACATGCCATTTGGAGGCAGGCTGAAGCAGGCTTGCTCGGATTTTCCGGTGGTTTCATGTCAAGGTTACCAGATGCTCAGCCAGTGGACGCACTTTGCATGTTTCTCGGGGATGCCTTTGCCTTTCCCTGTGATGCCAGGTAACTTCAAGGCAACCACCCCTTGAAATGTCAAATCACAATTGCTGGTTACTATACTGGCAACTGGAATCGATCCGGCTGAAACCTTTGGTGCCCCAAAAAGTGGTTTTTGGCTGATCCGGCCGAGAGAGGACAGTGGCACCTGGAACTGGTGAGGATGAACCGAACGCGGGTGCGACGTCACAAATTCGGTTCCTTTCTTGGGGTCGAGTTCTGATTTTTAGAGTTCTGATGATGTATCAAACTTGTTTATGTTCCCTTGTTGGTTTTAAAAGGAATTTGTCACTACTGGAAATATGTTTACTTTTAATAGGCTTCCCCCCCAAAAAAAAATAAGAAGAAGAGGACAAAACAAAAAATGGAAAAATGAAGAAACGACAGAATGGATTTCGGGGGGAAAACAGCTGTTGGTTTCCCAAAATCCCGTCACAAACAAAGCACCACCCAGCCATCGCCGATCGCCGATCGCCGGGCGACTCGATGGATGGGTCCCCGGGCTCAGCGAGAGAAGAGGAGATGCGCGAGAACGCGGTGGCCCCGAACGTGAAGACCTACGGAAAGCTCCTGGAAGCTTCCGCCAAGGCGCGACTACATAGGCTTCACTATTCTTGGCATGTTTTTAGTTTTGTTTTTTGGTTTTGTGTTCTGTTCATTGTTAGTAGGGGGCTGCAAAAAACAAAGTGTTTTTGCTGCCATACCAAAGGTTGTTTTAAACATCACCTTTTTGGCCCATGAAAGGTGAGTATCCCTTGATGGGGTGATGTCTTAAGGGGAAATATAGGGAGCCCTGACTACATAGGCATTGCTTGCCCCACAATCAGAAGATTTGGTTGGGATCGCACGATGCCCGTCATTCCCGTTCAAACAATACGTGCAAGTCAGATCAAAAAGATCAATCACCCTCCAATCACGAAAGTGCACAGAAAAGGACAGTGGCATGGGTAACGAAGGGAAGACGCTGTGGATGGTGGCGAAACTCATCTTGCACCACCGTTCAGCAGACCTGGTTTCGGAGGATTCCCCTGTAAGTACCAACAAACGTTCTGGTTTCATCCATTTCCAGGTGGGCAACTAGGGATTTGGAGCCTTGGCTTGGCTTCTTTAGGTAAGTAAGGGCTCATCGCGAAACACGCAAGGAACATGGCTCTAGCTGGGAGGGCCGGCGTCCAAAACGGTCTTCAAGTCCCAGAGTATGCAAAGGGAACAGCCCAGGAAAGAAACAAACAGCACTAAGAGGAAAAACCATAGTTCGCGGTTTTTTTTTTTTTTTTTTTTTTTTTTTTTTTTTCGATTGACTAACTTGAAGTGAGTCCTTGCGAGGTTAAAGGGGACATATAGGTCTCATCTTCGCTGAGAACTGACATGCCTTTGCACTGGGGGTGATGCGATTTTTCGCACCCGATAAACGTTCCTTTCTTGGGCCTGGAGTTTTGGATTGGTTTGGGGATTTTTTGTGGAGGGCAAGGTGAATGGTCGGATTTGCCCTGGTCTTTGCGTTTCGGGCTTGCCTTTGGTGATTGGGAACTGGGGTTCCAGGAACTCGGTCCCCGGTCCCAACACCAAACCGAGGAGCCCGGAGTCCTGGGAGGAAGTACTTGTGCAGTGGGGTCCCTCGATCGTTTTTCGAGCTATGGGAGTGGGGTAGGCGATCGTTTCGGGGAAGTGTTGGCTTGCTCCTTATTTGATCAGGCTGTTTTTTTGGATGACGGGATCGATTTAGGGTCATTTTTTTTCTTACCCATCGGGAAGAAGTGCCATCTACCAACTCACCCTGTCAGTGTAAGAAACTTGTTGGCATAGGTGTCCTTGTTGGTTGTTTTGGTGGAAAAATAGATGGCCCTGGTTTACCTGGTGGTTTAATCATCTACCAGGGCCATCTCTTCGCCCTAAAAGGACACCTATGCCTGTTGGTGCTCAGGGAATGACCCAGTTGGGAATAAACCAACTGGGTCCCTGAAAGGAAACCAGTTGGATTGGTTTTGTTCGGGGTCATTCCATCTCTGACTCCCTGCCTCTCGCGCCAGCAAGCTATAACCCATCTACCAAGTAGCGTGAACACGGTGGGGTGTGAAAAATATGGACCCTTGTTAAGTAAGTTGAACATGGTGGGTTGTCAGCAGCAACTATGTCCCCCAGTAATGCGCTTTGTCCCTTTTTTGGTTGGGAGGGTTCCTGCTAAGATGGCCGACAGGAAAGAAGAGTCGGGTACCAACTTATTCTAACCTCTCCAATCTGGAGGACCTAGGCAAGGCAAAAGGTGCCGCTGAGAGCTGCTCTGCTGCTCCCTCTGCCAGGCAGGGGACCTCGCCGCAGCAGAGCGCTGGATGGGCGAGTTGCGGAAGCAGGGCTCGCCAGAGCTCATCCAGTGCCTTGCCTTGGGCTCCGGGATGTCCCACCTTTGCCTTTGCGATAGCGTAATTACAGTGTCTCTTCGACGCAACGATTTATTGGGGGGAGGGAAAGAAGGAGAAGGCCCCAAAAACAACGAGTCAGTGTGTCTGGGTTATTCTAAGGGTTGATACCCCATTCTTTTTAACCATCGTTCTTTTCAAAAACCGGATCCGTTTCCCTGGGTTTCAAAGGAGGTTTTCTAGAAAGAAGGATCTCTGGAAAGAATGGGGAAGGTAGCACTAGAGTTATAGCCACTACAACCACGCCCTATGGGTATAACATGGAGAACTGGGGTTAGCTCAGGTACAACCATGGTTGGCTCGGACCTGGGGTTTTCAAAATGAGTATGCTTCAAGAAGGCCATGGTTTATGTGGGGCCCGCCGTCCAAAAAAGGGTCCATATGTTTGACAACCCACCATGTTCCACCTACTTAGTAGATGGGCCATAACTTGCTGGTGCGAGAGATGCAGGGAATGAGAACCCGAAACAAGCCATCCAACTAATGGTGTTCTTTACGGGGACCAAAGCCTGGGTTCATTCCCTCATTCCTTACTCAGCACCACCAAGACAACCATGGACCATGGGTAGAAAATGGAGAACTGGTGTTAGCTGATTTTTGCAACCATTCCTCCACCAGGTCACCTACTTTGCAAATGGGTCATAACCATAGACCGTGGGTGTAAGATGGAGAACTGCGAATAGCTGAGTTGCAACCATGGTTATAACCCACTCACTAGGTCGAACATCCGAGTAGGGACAGAGGGGACGGAGGGAAGGGAGCAACACACGCATGGCTGGTCAACTGAGTCGCGACTTCGAAGGGTTTGGTTTGCTTGGTTTAAGACACGTCCCGCGAGAGAAACATGTGATTCGGGTGGGGTAGGAAGGCGTGCTTGCACCTTCCAATCAGCATGTCTCAAAATAGGAATTGGACCTTCATGCTTGGTAACTTTCCTTTTGGTTTTCCTTTTTGAACCCATCCCAAAAAGGAAAAGCCTGTCGCCTCAAAGAAATTGACAGACCCATATTGACCCGAAGAGGACCAATCAGATTCTGAAGACCTACTGCGATCTATTTTGCTGAGCAACCGATTCAATCCCCTTACAGATGGCAGCTACCCTCCAATCGTGGAAAACGATCGGAGGGTCTTGGACAGCTACCCTTCCCCCCACTATCTAGCCCCTTTTCCTGGGGAAGTTTTGTGGTCCACTTCCCGCCTGCCGCTTGCCGCGCACCCCCCCCGGCCACGGACGAGGTAACCCATTTGTTTAGAACGTTTAGCCGGGATCAGATCTGAAAAGGGACAGCCGTCCAGCTGGGAGGGCACGGCGCCATGTGGCTGTGGTTGTCAAAACCGTTTTGGGATCCCATTTCCGGGTAGGCGAATTCACCGCCCATTTTAGGCGCTTCCTGTTTTAGTGGTTGGATTGAATTGGATGTAACCACCGGGGGCGATTCGGGATTTTGGACCCATGGCCATGTGCCGCCTCGAGGTACGCCATGCTGCTGGACGCCTGCGCCAAGCTGGGCCTCCCGCAGCAGGCCGCGCATTTCCTCGCGGAGGCGCAGGAGCAGCTCTTGCGCCCGGACCTCCAGCCCGGAGACCCAGAGACCCGCCGTGGGAAAAGAAGCACGAGGTTTGTTTGAAGGACACCCCCTATCTTTATTACATATACATATATAGATATATATAAACATAGTGTTTTTGTTTTTTAAGACACAACTAGTTTGAAGTATACACATCATGGTAACACAGTGAGGCAAGTTTTTGAGACCCCCCCAAACAAATTAATCATAAATAAACATGTGTGGCTTCTCTTTAAGGGCCAACCCCCCAAAAAGGGCATCAGTAAGATTTGTTTGGGGGGAAGGGGTCTTGGCTGAAGTGGAGAAGGGCTCCATTTCAGCAATTGGACACGGGCTGCTTGATTGAAGACAAGAACCCAAATGGCCCGGGTTTTTTCGTGATAAGCCCGGGCGAAGGTTGGAACAATCTGGGAAGCTCGCCATTGCCAGACTTTCTCCTGTCCACTGTGTAACATGGAACCCAGCAGAGGGTCCCTTTGAAAGCAAGCTAGGCTGTAGCTAACTTTCCAAGCCTTTACTTTTTTGGTCACTTTTGGCTGTCAGATCTGTTTGGCCCAATGGTGTGCTTGGGTGTGTTGGAGTTGGTACCCCTTCTGTTGATTGCCATTGGCTTGAGATCTTTCGACTTTTTTCTTTTTTTGTTCTTTCTTTTTTTTACGGGTTGACGCAGCTCAGATTCTCCAACAGACCCACAAGAAGTTGGCCATGGGTCAAAACCCAAATCATGCCCCCGGTGAACATCCCAATCCCCACTAAAACAGGTTCTAAAATGGGTGGTGCACCTATCCCAAAATAAGATGGTACCACTGGTTTTAAAATAGGAAGCCCAAAATGGGTGGTGAATTCACCTACCCACCAAAATGGGATCCCAATCCAACCACTAAAATAGACCAACATGGGTGGTGCACCGACCCCAACATGGGATCCCAAAACGGCTTTGACACCCACGGCCAACTCCAAATGTCTCGCTTGAATCGAATGGGATCGATCAACAGCATCCAATCAGATCCGAAGGGCCGAGAATTAGAAGAAGCCGCAGTGGCTGAGAAAACGGCTACGGAGGGTTGCGGACGGGTGCTACTGTGGATGGATAAAATCCTGCACCACTTGAAAACCATGGGAACCATGGTTTGTTGGTATTTATAGGGGAATCATCCCTTTGCTGCCTCTTAGTTGGTGCAGGATTTCGTCCATGCACAGTAGGTAGGCCGCAGTGGCCGAGAAAACGGCTACGGAGTAGGGTTGCGGACGGGGGTTCTGGGGGTTGCTCTTGGGAATACTCCACTGACTGACCGGCTTGTTCTTTCTTGTGTTTTTGTTTGTGTGTGTGTGTTTTTTTTTGTTTTTTTGGGGGGGGAGGTGGTTGAAAGGGCAAGTGGTCTTTGATTTGGGTTTGCCGAGTTAAAAATAAGGATAGCTGTAAACAACGTTATATATCCTTTTGAGGGCGCAGGTAAACACCTACTTGGGGTCTCCCTCAGACCTTAAAGAAATCCGACTCTTTGTTTGGAAGGGAATCGTCATGAATCCCTGATTGACAAGCGGGAATTCAGACAACCATGATTTTTGGTGTTTCTTTGTTGTTTTACCCGAAGTAGCCACCAACATTTGTTGACCAATGTATGCAGGGCTGGTGGTTTTTACGCGAGCTTTCTGGGTGGCCAGAGTGGCCAAAAGATACGGCAGGTGGGGGTTGGAGCAGACAAACGGCGGGGTTCAAGGTTTGTTGGCAGCCACTTAAAGACATTGAACTTCTTGCAACCACCTCCCCCCCAAAAAACAAAAAAACAAAACACACACAACAAAAAAGCAAGCGAACTGGTCGGGTGGTATCCCCAGCAGCAACCCCAACTGGAACCCGTCGGGGTGATCTGTGTTCCAATTGATTTCGCTTCCTCGGACTTGCTTTTTACTCGGCCCCAGGGCACCTCCAAAAAGGGGTAAGATACCTACCTCTACCGCTAGGGAACCCTTATAACGGCTTTGGCCTTTTGGTTTCCCTTTCAAATCAAACAAGCGAGGCAGATTATTGAAGGTGCAAGAAGACACACACACATGAGCGGTTTTCTCGACTTCCTCCTTATTGACACGAAATGGGTTTACCTTCAACCCCCCCACCCTGCCTCCCCAAAAAATCGGCGGTTTCCCTTTGGTTTCCCTTCTATCTCCCTTTAAAGCAACCCCACAAAGGGACACACCAAAAAACTAAACAACCCGCATGATTCCCTCAAAGTAATGGGTTCCCAAAAACAAGCACCCCGTTCGGTGTCCCTTAAAGAAATGCGGTGCCCCCCCTCGAACAATTCGACGACCCTCCCCCCCCCCCAAAAAAAAAAAAGAAAGAAAGAGAGAAAAAGCAGAAAATAACACGGTGGTGTCCCTTTACCCAACAAAGGGACACGCCCAAAAACAGCGAACCTGTTGCTTCCCGCAAGTCATCGGTTCCCTTGCCCTCGAGTCATCGGGAAAACTCCTCAGGTGCTTCACGTCGCTGATGGACGCCTGCGCCAAAGCCGCGCAGCCGGGCAGCTGCCGAAGATGGCTCCAGGTAGCGGGGGGCGGAGGGGGGCTGCCGATTTCCGCCGGGCGGGTGCTTCCTTTTCGGGTCGTTTTGGCGGGAATAAACCTGAAGAAAAGGGGGTACCTTCCATTTAAACGAATTTCCAGAAAAAAGAGCAAGTATTCTAGAGGTAGCTTCCATTGTTCCATTCTTTCCTGGATTTTTTCTAGAAAATCTCCCAGGAACCCAGGGAAAACGGCGATGGGTTTTTGAAAACAGGGATGGCTGAAAGACTGGGACATCAAACCCCCAGAACTAAAAGAAGAGTGCTGTTGTTTCTAGCTGGTGTTGGAAGGGAGACTGGAGACCGGGGTATCCACACAATTTGCTTTCAACGAGGGAGCGGTTCAGGAGCTACTGATTGGAGTTCTGTAAGTAAAGTGAAGGGGCAAGGGGGTGGACTCAAGTTCCACTAGCGCGAGCTGCGTGGGTTCAAATTCCACAGCTGGCAATTATGAATCTAGACCAAATATGAGAACTATAAGTAAACAATAAGTTAAGATGACACAATACAAGAAGGCTTTTGTTCCCGATTTCTTTAGTTGAATGAAGCGGCCGGGATGGCACCGGACGGGAGGAACGAATTGGTGGAGCCTCGGTCTGCTTACGGCGGGAGTTTTCGACCCTGTGCTTCTGCAGGGAACTTTTTAGGATGTGTGTGCTTTTCCACTGGTGACACAGGAAGCTTGAGTTCCTTTTTGCCGCCACGGAAACTCGGAGCGCCTGAGATAAGTTACAAAAGGATTTTGCCCGCCAAGCAGTACCAGACTTCGATTTTCTGAAATTCATATGTGTTATTGCCCCCGGTTGGTTGAAAGGGAATAAGTTTCACAACAGGCAATATGTTCTCATTTTTTCCCAGGGGACTTTTCAGCAAATGGAGGCAGAAAGTTGAACTTGTTCACCACGGCCTTCCTTTCGCACAGATTGCGTTGCGGCTCAAGAGGCATGCTCTTGTTTTTCCACTCCCCAAATGCATCAAGAAACTGCCGCCATTGTACGGGTTTGTTTGTTTTGAGGGTTCCCTTTTTTATAAGGGAAACCAGCAGGAGCATGGGAGCCATTTTGGGCGGTCGCCTACAAAAAGACGAGCCACCCAGTTTAACTGGATTTACCATTCAAAACGGTGGCCTTTCCCATTCTAGGGGTACCTTCCCCATTCTTTCCAGGGATCCTTCTTTCTAGAAAACCTCCTTTGAAACCCAAAAACAAACGGATCCGGTTTTTGGAAAGAACGATGCTTGAAAAGAATGGAATCGGAATCAAACCCTAGACCCATGGCCACTTATAGTAAACCCCTGTGAAACCACCTCCATTTGCTGAAATGAGTTTGTTTTTCCATTTTTCCTTGTTGGTCTGAAAAGGAACTCATAAGTACTGGACATCTTTTCTCACTTTTTCCTGGGGCCGAAAAAGCAACTGGAAAACCAGGTTCGGCCCACGTGCAACTTGGGGTGCATCATTTTGAGCCTTGCCCTTCAAAGGACAGCGAGTGGTTTCTCCAAGCCAACTGAGGGTCGTCTTAGGGGAAGCCAAGTCAATGGTGATTCCCAGCCATCCGGTCCCTTGGGCGTTCTTCTTCCCCCAGCTGAAAGCTTTGGGGTCTTAGGCTGCGGGGTCCGGGGAGGCCCTAAAGTAAGGTTCCCCGAGGGTTCCACCAGGGTTCCGGGGTTCCAGGGTTCCACCAGGGTTCTGCGAGGACTACGGGGTGCGAGCACCAAAAAGAGAACACCGCATGCTGCTGGGGGAATATCGCCTGGGCTTATTTTTACCTGGTTTGGTAGAGTTTCCACTTGATCCCCACAAGTCAGGATCCGAAACGGGACGGCCAAAGAGTTCAGGCAGGTTACTCCCCCGATCGGTTAGGATTGGAGGGGAGTTGAAGCCCTGGAAAGGGACAGCCCAGAAAAACATGGCTGTTGTTGGGAAACATGTTTCCCATTTTTGCTTCTTGTGGTTGAGTGGTTGAAATCCAACCACTTAACTGCTAAAATTCGAGAATTTTGCTCCCCTAACCCAACGTCCACCGAGAAAATGGGCACCCATGTTGCGGGTCGTCCGCAAGCCGCAGGAAATGCTCAGGGCGCGCCTGATGCCTAATGCGCCTGGGCTGTCCGAATCGACACCTCCACTTGAGTGTTGAAGCTACTTGGCCTAGGAGTTGTAGGTGTCCTTCGAGGTTAGTTTGGGTCAGAAATAGATGGCTCTGCTGTAGTTTAGATTCCCAGTTGCCCAGTGGCGCCTTTTTTTTCTCCTTTTTCGGGGAAGGGTTCCGATTCCTTTAAGCTCAACCAAAAAGGAGGCCGATTCTTCTTTTCCAATGGAAGTCCACTGGGCATCTGAGGTGATTGGTTTGCTTCCATCTACCAGGGAAGCCCATCGATTTGGACGAAAAGCACACCTATGCTAGGCCGCCCCTCGGACCGGAGCCTAAATATGAGGGCCTCAAGGACCCGCCTAGGGTGAGTGAGTGGGTTATAGCCATGGTAAGTGAGGCAGCTGCAGTTCTCCCTCTAGCCATGGGTAAAACCCATGGTTGCGTAGGTTGTACTGACGTTTCTTTTGGGAGGACCTATGGGCTCTTTGTCGGATCCTAAGCAGTCGAGATCTAGAGCTAAGATTTTGAGCGTTTGTTTAGGGCGACATCCACGTCTTCTGAATCCGTGGTTCCAAATGAGTTGCAACCCCCGGATTCAGGTGGGAAACCACAAACATTGCGGAACAACATGCCTAAGTTATTTTTATCATGTTGACCCCGGATGAATGAACCCCAGTTTATTACTCGGGGGGTGTCAACCTGGGTGTCAACCTGGGTGAAATGTAGCTGGAATCAGACCACTTTTGGTCCACAAAAGCCCTTGACGTTGGACTGCATCAAAGTTACGTGCTCGCGGGGTTTAACGAGACCCTCCCCACCAAGGAATTCCCTTGAAAAAAAGTCCCCCGTTTTCAGACACCTGCATATCGGCTATTTGGAGACAGCGAGTAGGCAGAAACCCCTCCAACTGGATGGTTTTTTTCCCGTGTTTCCTTTCCATCCACTCCCAAAATGGTCACAACCAAACCGTGGGTAGATGGTGAATAAGCGACAGTCCCAGTCGGAAGCGGGTCACATGAATTTGAGTAACGTTGACCCAGCAAGAAACGGCCCAACAGTGTTCTGATTCCAACCACATTTCACCCATGTCAACCCCCTATTAATCAACTGGGGTTGATGAGCATCTGGGATCAACATTCCTTGGTGGTTCCCAGCCGTTCCCTTAGCCTTTTAGACTTTTAGTTAGTGAGTGGTAGTCTCTATTTAACCCACAAGTTGAAAGCTTTTACGGACAGCCCAGATTCGACCAAAAGTCATGAAACCCCCATTGGATCCAGATGAAAATCAATTTTGGTCAACACCAAATTTGCCGGGCGGATGTCGTGACTTAAATGTTTCCGTGAGGAGCGGTCCCTCACCGCGCTGATTGATGCCAGCGCCAAGTCCGGCGATGCACCTTGGAGTCAGATGGGTCCCATTCAGGGCCTCCAGGTTTGACCATGGCTAACTTTTCCCATGTTAACATTTTTTTTGTTTTTGTTTTCCAACCAATGGTCATTCCATGTAAACGGCTTTTTGACCAACCCCATATGTTTAGGTGTAATGATCACTTTTTGGTTGCTAGAGTGACCATCCTTGTGTGATGTAAAGGGATTCCTTTTTCCCTTTTGGAGGGGTTCCCGAAAAAAAAAGGGCCATCAACCACAAAAAAGAAGAGTGCTCTCTTTTCTAGCTAGTGGCTGGAGCTAAGGTATCCAAATGTTCCTAAGCGCGCGCGCACCCGCAAGCACGCACGCATGCACGCACGCGCGCACACATGCACACATGCACGCTTGGGTGGGTGGGTGGGTGGGTGGGTGGGTGAGTGTGGGTGGGGGGCGGGGGTTGGGGGGGGCGGCGGGGGCGGGGGGGGAGGGGGCGGGGGCGGGGGGCCTGCGACCGGGCGGGTGGGCGGGGTGGGCGGGGTGGGTGGGTGAGTGTGGGTGGGGGTCGGGTGGCGGCTGTTTGGGAAGGGCCGGAAAAGGTTTCAAAGCGAAACGAATCCGGTTGCCCACCACCCCTTCCGCCCCACTGCTGCTTTCCGATGTCCATGGGACCCGGGTAGAAGGTTCCTGGGGTTTAGTTACCACCATGAAAGAACAATGGGGTTAATATAAAACCACCATGATTTAGCCTGGCATGTCAGCAAACCCTCAATTAGGTCTTGGCAGTTCGTATGGGGGGCAAGTTGAACCTTATATCAAATCGAGGGATTGTTCTAGGTCCTTTCTCTTAAGGACCCCCCTTTTGGTTGGTTGCAAGGAAAGCCTTTTGGCTTTCCAAGAAAACACATCCCAACCTCGCCAGACAATAGGATAATGTTGACTCCATTTCTTTTAGCAACCCCAGTTTATTCCAGGGGTTAGGGAGAATTTAGCCATCTGGGTTTGATGAATGTGGCGCCAACATCGTTGTTTTTGCCAAAGAAGGCCAAAAAAGGCAAAACAAAACCTGACAAAAACGACCCTTAGCCTATATGAAACGGAAGGTCCAGTGCCGAATTCAAAAATACCAGTTCTAGGTTCCACTAGGCCCATGGTCAAAACGGGCCCCCAATGGAATATTCCGATCAACCCCAAGGAACGAACTCAGGATTCCCCAAGGAAACCACAAGGAGGGTCTGGAAGGGTCATATTCCCTGCATCTCTCGCACCAGGTACGATAAGGGACAGGAGGTTGGTGTTTTTTTAGCCCAGTTTTCATGGCTGCCTGAACGTCAGGGTGGAAATGGAATGAACCCAGGTTTGGGATTCCCGAATAAAGGAAACCATCAGTTGGATGGTTGTTTCAGGGTCATTCCATCTCTCATTCCCTGCATCTCTCGCAAGTTATAACCCATTGCAAAAGTAGCTTGAACATGTTTTTGTTTGACAAAATATGGACCCCTTGTTCAGCAACCCCACATAAACCACGGCCTTCCCAAAAAAGGGTACTCTTTTTGACAACCCATGGCCCATGATTGCGTTGCTGTGAGTAGGGAATGAGGTTACATTTCTACTCGCGTTGGCAAAGGCGGAAAGCCTGCTGAGGGGTCCTGGTTTGGAGGATTTCCGAAAACAAGGGGCCAATTCTCGGTGCAATCTTGCTGGTGCGATAAGTAGGGAATGAGACATGGAATGAACCTGGGGATTCCCAAATAAAGGACACCATCAAATAAATGGTTTATAATTTATAAGGGTCATTCCATTTCTCATTCCATGCTGAGCACCAGCACCCCAACTGGTTTGCTTTCGGGGATCCCAGGCCTTACGAATGCCTGTACCCTGGTACCCCCTCTCCCCCTACCCCTCCCCCTTGAGGTAGTTGGGTCCTATCCCAAACCTGGGTTCATTCCATTTTTCTCACCCTAAAATTCAGGCAGCCATAAAAACTGGAGGGCTAACAAAAAAATCACCAAGCTCCTGTCGCTTAACGTACCTGGTGGTTTCCTTTTTGTGGTTTCCTTTAAGGGTTCATTCCGGGGATCGAACGCTTCATTCCACGTTTCAACGAGGTGGCGGCCGCTGAGGCCTGGCTGCGGCGCGGCGCAGAGCTCACGGCGCCGGAGCCTTCGCTCGAGCCGCCGTCTTCGGTCGGAGGGCTGGGGCTGGAGCTGGGGGGGGGGCTCGGAGCCAGCGGCGGTTTTTGGGCGCTTTGTGGTTTTTGGTGGTGGGGATATCTTGGTTTTGGTTTTGGATATGACATGTTCATACACATCTCAAAGTTTTTAAGGGTGAGTTGGAGTATGTTTGCGTTTTTTTTGCTGAGGTTGGGCGTTTGGCTTATGGCTGGGCTTGGGTTTGTGTCTTGCTTGCCTGCCTGCCTGCCTGCTTGCTTGCTTGCTGGCTGGCTGGCTTGCTTGCTTGCTTGCTTGTTTTTGTTGTCTGTTTTTGTGGTGTTTTGTTTTTTTGTTGCTTTGTTTCTTTGTTTCTTTGTTTCTTTGTTTGTCAACATGATGACCACTTGCCACACTTTTTCCGACAAAGAACACACACACACACACCTAAGCAACTTACCTTACACAGCAAAGCAAGCATTGTTACAGCTACCATTCATTCCAAGCCTTTTTTGTAGGCCCCACCAACCACAAAAGCAAACGTAACAAAACGGAAGCATTCACTAGCCGGTAGCAGTGAAGCATTTGTTGGTCAGTGGATCCATTGGTTTTGCTTGGCCAAGTTGCAAACTCGAGCTGCTTTGGGCGTCCGTTGCTCGGCTGGATGTCCATCTTTCAGCCGCCCTTGACCGAAAGAACAACAGATACAAATGGATTCCCATCGGTTGATTGGATTCCCATCGCTTTGGGCGGGTTTGTCCCTGCCCTGAAAACCATTTTTAAACGTGTGATTCCGTTGGCCGAACACTGGTGATCCACCCAAACTGCAAGATCTTTGCACAATTGCCCTATTCTGAGGGGAAAACACTTTCAATCTCTTTGGCGTGGTCACCCTGCCAACGTTTCATCTTTGTGAGGACAAGAAGGCCTTCTGAGAAACGTGTTGCACACCACCCACCCAAATATGCCATACCAAGCTCTCCTCAAAAAGGCTGGGCAGACCTTTCATGACGTCTGCATACGTCTGCCGCTGGGGGCACCTGTGCCAGCACGCTCCCATAAACCGACCAACCCCGCCCTTTTCGGCTCAAGTCACCGAGTGGAAGGAGGTACGCCGTGAGGGCCCCCCACCGTTTCTCCCCGCGTTCGGCGTAGCTTCAAGCGAACTCCAAGGCCCGATTTTCAGCCAAGAGGGGAAATCTGGGGAGCCCGAAGTTGTTTTTTCCAGTTTCGGCTTGCAGGGCTCACTCTGCCAGCGCTTCATCTGTGTGAGGACAAGAAGACCTGAGAAACGTGTTGCATACCACCCATGATGTCTACCACGTCCCCAAATTGCAGCGCACCCAAGCTTCAGCTGGCTAAGCTCAGCAGATCCCGCAAACCGATCCCCAGCTACAACCGCGGCAAGTGCTTGCGGCACAAAGCCCAAGGAACAAACACCAAGGCGGGGATCAGAGTCGGGTGCATCTTTTTTTTTAATGTGGGCTTGTCCCTTTTGTGAGTTGGTAGGTGCATCCTAGTCCGGTTTTTTCTATGTGGGTGTGGCTCAAAGTTAAACAGGAGGGGTTACGCAGGTTTTGGTCCATGTTTCCACTTACCAGTGTTCCATTTTGGGTACCGGTTGTTTGAGCCACGGTTATGTGGGTCTGTCCCTTTAGTTGTTACTCCATGAACATCGCTTCTTGCCAGCTACCAGCTTCCCCACACCTCCCGCCTCTCCCAGAAAAGGAATCGACTGGCCGAAACGTTTGCCATTGACTTGTTCCCTTTCCCAAAGCGTCCCTAAGGCAGAGGTCTCGCTTGGTTGCTTTTGAGGGGAGACCAGAAGGAAGACCATTCTGCAAGAAAACCAGTCAGCACTGAGGGACCGCCGGTCCGGAAACCCTGGGGGAAGGGTGACTTTCCCAGGGCGCTGCTCGAGTCCTGAATCGAGCGCTGTCATGGCTGCGGTCGTCAATGGTCGTGCATCCACCTGAACATGGCTCCCAGAACAATAGAACAAAACAGAAGAACCGGTGCGGTTTCCTGTTGGTCTGGTGAAAAAGTTAAGGTTTTGAATGACCTGCCCAGATTGCACTGTTTAAGCAGCCCTTTTGGACCACTTGTTACTGAACTTGGGAGGGGTAAAAGAGAGGAAACCCAAAAATGAACTGCGCACATACAGGGCTTTCTTGGATCTCTACTTGCAACTGTGTTTAGCGATCACCCGCAACATGTCACAAAAGGAAGTTGTTTATGGATACCATGTGGGCATTTGGTGACTGTTTCCAGCCAACTGGGGGTTGCTCAAATTGGAGCACTAAACTTGGTGGCTCCCAGCCATCCCCTTAGCCTTTTAGCCTTGCAGTGTTTAGTGGTAGTTTCTATTTAACCCACTAAAAGTTAAACTTTTGGCGGGGGATCTGAAAACGGACAGCCCAGTGGTAAAATGATGATTGGTGTCCATAGGTGTCCTTTTTGGTTGGTTTGCTTAAAATAGAGGGCCCTGGTTTGGATGGGGTTTATTCCATGTACCAGGGCCATCTATTTTTCCAAAAAGGACACCTATTCCACCGACCTTTATCCTTTTCTAGGTCCCCCAGGGAGGGTTCCCCTACTAAAATCGACAAACTAGAAAAACAAGTTGGTGCCCTTATTCTGACCTCTCAAATCTGGAGGACCTAGTTTTGGTCTTCCCTTTTTGGTCCACTTAGCAAAGGTCCCCAAAGGTTGATGTTCTATTTCTCGGTCCTTTGGGCAGGTCCTCAGGTGAGGGGAGGTTCAATCGTCGGGACGCTTTTTGTTGGCCGGCCCGGAAACCGACCTTCTCAGCTAAACTTGATGCGATTCGTCTGGGGTACTCTGTATGCACATGGTAAGGACCAATTTTGGTCTCCCAAGTAGCTTTAGGGAAAGGACTGTGAGTTGGGGTGCGACTCGGCGCCTCTTGAGTGTTTGTTTCTGCTCTGCGGTTATGTTTGGGGCCAAAGAGGAACCAAACAACAACCCACATTCGCTGGAATTGCGCAAGCGATGAAGAGAAAACTGAGAGCCACCAAAGAACGGGGCAACTCAGATACTCAGTGCCAGATACTTGGGTGGCTCGAAGACAAAATTTACTTCGTATTTTAAGACACGCCCATTGTTCAAGGGCCAATCCGTAGGCGTTTGACTCTTGAGGAAAACAGCCTGAGTGGATCTGAGTGGCTGGTACCAAGGCCCCAAGGGCTGCGGTAAGAAGAGACCTTCCAAGGATTAAGTTTTTCCCGCTGTCTTTGTCTTTCGGGATCTATGCCTGGAAGTATGTTTTCTCTTTTGTTCCATAGGAGATGACAGGGACCTGGAGATCCGCTAACCCAGTACTGGATGGCCAAGGTAAACGCCGAGTTTTCTTCGACCCCCGACCTCCCACGGGCCCCCTCGATTTTCGATTTTCCCATGTGGCTTATTCTTTGAGTTTTGCCCTACTGCGGAAGCCCGGAAAAGGAACATGCGAGATGTGAGACGATGGGTCAGTGGAGTTTTTTTTGGGAGATTCTCCCCTTGTTGGGCTTGTCTTCCAGGGACACCAACCGTTCCTGGGGTTCTTTGGTCCTTAGGGCGATTGGCTTAGACGTGCTTGGGCGGGGCTTGGTGTGGTTCGTCTGCAAAGATAGGCAACCTTCACAGTGACCGGTGAATTGAGCAACTCCAGACCCGGTGCGTATTTGAGGATGCCCTTAGGTTGACTCGGAAACGGTTGGGCATACTGTTCTAGGGGTTGATTCCTCATTCTTCTCAACCATCGTTCTTTTCAAGAACCAGCTGTTGTTTTTTCTTGGTTTCCGGAGATGTCCTAGGAAGAAGAGAATGGACATGGAAGGCACCCCTAGAACTACAAGAATGAAGAATACGAGCAGAGAATGCGAGCAGTCCTATGCGCAAGGAACACTATTCGGGTACAGGGTCTAAGTATCTCCCTTGGACCATTTCGGTTGTACATAAAAGTGGGTTCTTTCTCTTGGCCCATCCACAAAAAAACAACATGAGGTATCGGGGGCCCGCTAAACACCAACCCCAAGGTTGCCTCGAAAAATCCCGGCCGAACTGATTTCCGCCGTTCCTCCTCCAAAAGCAAGTTTCGATCCTTGGCAGCAAGCTTTCCTTTAGGACCAACCTATCCAACCAGAAACACTCCGAGATCCACACCAAAACCTTTAAACCAGCCCAACCAACAACAGGGGGATCTCCATACTATGCTTGCACCCTTTCAGACTAGCTCAACCGACACGAATCACAACTCAAAGGCTGTCGGCAGGTCTCTTGGAGAAGACATTTCCACATGGAGCTGGAAGGAGAGGTTACGCGCCTTGGCAAGACGAAAGGAGGAGTGGCACCTCACCAGGCCCAAAAAAGTCGCCAATGTCTAGCAAAGATCTGAGCTTGGGCTTCCAAGTTTTTTAGTTCCCAAGTTGTCTGGCTCGTTTCTGAGTCGAAGCCTTTGGGGCTGTTGGAGGCAAAACTTTGAGCACTCCCCTCCCCAGCCCCCAACCCCCAACCCCCAACCCCCAACCCCCAACCCCCAACCCCCAACCCCCAACCCCCAACCCCCAACCCCCAACCCCCAACCCCCAGCCCCCAACCCCCCAACCCCCAACCCCCAACCCCCACCCATTTTTACAGGGCTCCTTCTTGTGTTTGCTTTTGGGAGGGTTAAAACCAAGAAGGGACAGTCAGGATCGATTTCAGGTTTCCGCCGCCCAGCTTGGAGCGGTGAGGTCAAGAGGCTTGCATTTGAACCAGGAGTTCAACTCCTCAAACCTGTTCAGACATGTGTTTTCCAATGTTTTTGTCTTCCTTTTTTTTTTCTCTCTGCTGTTTTGTCGCTTCACCAGTTTCCAGTAAGCGCTGGCATGTCGAGGTCATAACACTGCTGGCATGTCGAGGTCATAACACTCATCCAAACCACCAGTTAAGTACCTGAAGTAGGCAGGCCCAGTGCTGCACTTCACCATTGGTGCTTCTGGCGCTCCATGTTGCTCAGGATCCATTTTCCCGGGCCCTCTTTTGACACGTCGTAGCCTTGGGGCTCCAAATTTCAGTTTACCCCACCTGCATCAACTTGGGATTGCGCAAGGTGAAAGCCAGAGTGGGCCACATTCGAGAACAGAATTCCTTGACAAAGCTCGGGCCTTTGCGTGCCTGACTGCTCGTGTGTGTGTGTGTGTGCTTGTGCCCGTGTGCCCAGGACACTCCTGATTCGAAGTGTGCGCAAGGCCGGCCGGGCTTCCATTTAATTCACTCAAAGTTAAGCTTTTAGCAGGATCTGAGCACAGCCCAGAAAACGTGGCACCCTTTAAGTTGCTTTTGGTTGGCAGAGGTCGAAGGGAACCAAGCTGAACTGTGCGAGCAGACTGCAGCCCTCGCTTTGGAAGGCAACTTCTTATGACGTCATCCACTTTGGAGCTTGTGATTCTGTGGTTCTAGAGTAAAGGGCAAATCAGATAGTCATCAGATAGTCCATGTGAGTTATCATTTATGGGAACCATATTAGGTCGTTGCCTGTGCAAACATATGACTTTTGAAGCCAACCTCTTGTCTCTACCGCTATTGGGTTGGATCTTTAGACTTTTTAACTTTTTGGATTCCCTTCACATTTCCTTTCAACCAGCAAGAAGTTAAGCTTTTTGGCTGGGGGATCTACAGCACCCAAGTTGTTCTGAAGACGTTTTTTTCGTGGGGAGTCCACCAGGTGCTTGCTCCTTTGGTGAGACTTTTTTTTCCTCCCCGGTTTGGGGTTTCCAAGTAGGCAAATCATGGCAAATCACCTGAAATGAGAAAAGCGCTGTGCCAACCAGCCCGAAGTCCCAGGACGCAGCCTAACCGGTTTCTGGTTTGGAGTTTTGCTTGGAGGCGCTTCCGGCCATCGAAACCTTTTCAAAACCTCTTGAAACCGGTCCCAAGGACCTACGAACCAACGAACCAGTCCCAAAGAAACCGGTGAATTTTCACACGAGCTCGAATTCGCGACCGAATTCACCAAATCCAAATGGTGGTTTAGGGGAAGAGCCCCCACACCACCAAAAATGTTTCAGGCGAGTGAAATATGAGAATTCACCCCGGAACCGTTGGAGTCACATCCCATGCTTCACGGGTGTGGATCAAGCTTTTTGTAGACTAGGTCCCCCAGCTAGGTGCCCGACCTCTCAAAAGACCCTTTCTTGGGCAAGAAGGGTTCCCCTACTAAAATAGACTACAGATAAGAAGTTGGTACCCTTATTCTAACCTCTCTACAGGACCTAGTAGTAGAAGGGGCTGCCATACCAAGGATTGTAAAAGGAATCCCATTGCTTGCTGGTTCTCTTATGGCTCTTTTGAACAAACAACAACAAACAAACCCGCTTTTAAGGGCGTTGAGATGAGAGACGTGAGGCTTGGTTGGGTTTGCCCTTCAGCGAGGGCTTGGCTGTTTAAAGAATTGGGAGCTTTGGAGGAATCCATCTTCACGTTTCCCCTTTGTGTGACTTCCAACTCTTTTGCCACAACCAGGGCTGGAATTTTTAGGACTCCGTGTGAGATATTCAGAACATTTGGTTCCGTCTTCCGTTGAGTTTTTGTTTAGGAAGAAACCATCATACTGTGGACGAAATCCATTTCGCACTCAAGAATCCATGGTTGCAACCACAGGTATTACAGGGGAATCAAGTCATTCCAGGGCTTCTTAATGGTTTTCGTCCATCCGCTGTATGTGCCATGCTCCAAAGACATGTTTGCTTGGGGTTAGCAGGGATGGTCATCCACCTGGTTGTAAGGATCCCCGATACCCGTCATAATAGTTGTTGTTAAGGGAGCCATGACCATAAGCCATATAAGGAGATTTGAACATGGCCATCGCGCGTTTTACTTTCACCATTGCTATTACGAGTGCTTTGTTTGATATGTTTAACAATTTTGTATTCTCCTTTTCTCCCGTGTTGATGGTAATTATGTTTAATGATTTGGTCTTCCTTTTTCTCTTGTTGATCACATGTTTGACCATTTGAGCAGAGTTTTTTTGTAGCGCCCGGAGCCGCGTAGGCTGGAAGAGTGTGCCTGCGCAGTGCGCGTAGGCTGTTTTGCGCGGGAACTGCCTCCGTGTAGGCTGAAACCCTGTAAAAATGCATCTCGCGTAGGCTTGCGTAGGCTTCCGCGGAGTTCCCCCTTTTATGTACCCAACGAAAAGCTCTGCTCATTTGGTTTTCTCCTTTTCCCTTGGTTTTCCCTGTGTTGATCACATGTTTCGCCATTCGGTTTTCCCCCTTTCTCTTAGTTGTTCCTGTGACCGCTTAACTCCTTGTTGTTTGCCTTTTGCATTGGCTTTCTGTGTGTTGATCATATTAGTTACTTGTGGGGTCTCCAAAACCTATTCTGTGTTTTAGGGTACAACACATATAGAACATAATCAGAAACTATGTATTACAGAGAGTTACAGTTCAATCTTTAACATCAAGCAGAAAGGTTACAGAGTGTCTACGCATGGATTTGTCAAACCAGAGAGCCGGAGGTTTAGACAGATTTGCGCACATCGAGTTTGTCAAAAACTATGTTTTTTGGGGAGTACCCCGCACGCCAAGAGTTGCTGGTGTTACCCACTTAGGTAGATTAAAGCCAGGGTGAAAACCCCCCAGCTACACCAGTTACTTTCTGGTTGAAATCATTGGGGTTTTCCACTAAACCCCCAAAAAGTGAAACTCATTTTCGGCAATCAAGCAACCAAGCAGCCAAGCTTTTGGAGGTTTAGTGGGGCTTTAGTGGAAAACCAAGTTGGAGCCAAGCTTTTTCCACAAACTTTTTGCCTTTTGGGCCCCGCGAGTCCTCGAGCCCTCGAGCCGCCGAGTCGTCGAGCCGTCGAGTCGTCGAGTCGATCGCAAGGTGAGCTACGAGGAGTTCATAGCGGCCATGAAGCTCTATTTGGGCCCGGCATGGGACCGCAAGAAAGCGCCTCGGTTGGTAGTGCCCTTTCAGGGTTTTTCAGCTAGCCGTTGAGTCACCCCCTCAAACGATTTGGTGTGTTTGCTTTATAAGTCCCCCAAAAATGGGTTTGGTTCACTTTGGAAACCCTTTGAACATAGGCCAGGTGGTGCCATCAACTCTGGGGCCTCCAAAACTGTTTTATGTTGTGCGAACTACTATGAAGAAAGAGAACTACTCGAATGTTCTGTATACATCTCTAGGTCCCCCATCTAGGTGCCCTTTTAGTCACCCCTTTCTTGGTTGGAGGGCAAGCCCCGTGTCTAAAATCGAAAAACAAGAAACACAAGTTGGCATCCTTATTCTGACCTCTCAAGTCTGGAGGACCTAGACCTTTTTCCCCATTGCGCTGGCTCCATGTATTTACTAATTTGACCGAACGAAGGAAACATAAATGTAAAGAGTAAGGGCAGGGTTGTGGGATCTCTCGGGGTTTCTCCCCACTTCTGTGATACAAGGAAATCCCCCTTATGAACAAAATAGTCTTTGGGAAGCCCTTTCTGTTTGTATCACAGAAGTGGTCATTCCGCGAGAAATGTGCTGTAATGCTTTTGAACATTGTGAGATTCCTGGTTGCACCTTGTAAAATCACACATTCCCCATGCGCAGACCCCAGTCTGGTTTTCTTCCAAGCGCACGAAAAGCCCTGGCAGACCTTTGGTTGCTCGTGGCTGGATGATAGCGTCCCTTCGCCGCCGCCGTTGGATGCGAAAGAGGTGCCAGCCTTAAAAGAGAGCCCCAGAGTCTCCATGACACCTAAAAAGGGTCATCACCCCTTGATTTTGGTCCATGACGCCATTTTTCAAGGGTCATGGAGACTCCAGGCAAGTCAAGTCAAATGAATCCAAGCCTTTTCTGGTTTAAATGTTGACCCCAGAGTCACCCCAGTGTATCAATATGGGGGTGTTGCCTTCGCTGACGTTGGAAATCAGAACCTCGTGAGGTGGACTTCGTCCACCGCGTGTCTGCGGCCTTCGTGGTGAACTTCCGGTCCCACGACGCCGCCAGCCGCGTCTACCGGAGCCTCTGCCTGCTGCGCCTCGGACGGACGGCGCTCGGTGGGGAAAACCCGGGGCTTCCAGTTGCTTTTTTGTTTTTTTCTTTGTTTTTTTGTTGGTTCTTTTTTTTTTCTTTTTCGGTTTTTCGTTTTTTTCGTGCTTTCTTTCCTTCCTTCTTGCTTTCCTTCTTTCAACATGTTCTTCCTCTTGCTTTCTTGCTGTCTTCCTTTATTGCTTGTCTTTCTTTCCCTGGTTGGGATCTCAAGGGAATCTATCACGACGCTTTGCATGGCTTTGCTTTTTCCCGGGCGCTTCGGGATTTTGGGGGCGCTGAGAACCCGGGCTTGGGACGAAAGGTCGCTTGTGCTTGGAAACAAATGTCATCTTCCAGCATCAAAGTCACACCCCGGTGGTAGGTTGAAGAGAAGTATCCCCAGTTCCTGACTTTCATATGTAAAAACAGAAGCAGTGGAAGCAAAGCCCGGTTGGACCATTTTAGCGGCTAATAACAAGTTCAGACTGTTTCCCGAAAGGGAGCTTTGGACAGAGAAGTTGAACTTGTACCAACAGCTTGCGCACAGAACTTGCTGAGAGGAGCTTTCTCAAAGAACTTGCTCAGAGAAACAATACGCTGAGAAACTTGCTCAGAGAAGCACCATTTTGGGGGTCCCCTAAAAAACACCCCCACATTTTCAACCCATAATTACGTGTGTCTTTTTGAACTGAAAGGACACCCTGATTTGGATTGGGTTGAAAGTAAACCAGAAGAATTCCGCTTGTGTTGGGAGTTCCGCATTGGGGTATGAGGGAAACCAAAAGGAACACACTTGTAGGGGTTCCTCATTTGGGTGTTTCCCGTGGGAGCCCCAAATTGCTGGTTTCGCTTCTTCTTTCCCTTCACACCTCCCCCCTTCAAAAACAAAGTGACCACCTGGGTTTTGGCCCCCAAAAATCCGCAATCATACGTGGATGATCTCCTTCTGAACGATTTCTTCTTGGGTTCCACGCTACTCTGAGGCGTGACCCAGAGGCCTTGAACGGGGCTGAAAGAGTTCTGAAAAAATGCTCTTTGATGTTGCTCTGTAGGGAGTAAGTCAAGACCAAAAGAAATTAACGTTCTTTAGTCTTTGGTGCATCTTGCCAAGGGATGTTAGGACTTTAACGTTTTTGCCAACTAAGTCGGGTTTTCTGTATTAAACCACTAACAGTCAGTCACTTTTAGCAGGGCTTCGCAGATTTCGCCACCGAGTAAAGGAGTTGGTTTCGACTGCCGTTGGGGATATCAACGGAAGTACGTGCCATGTTCAAAAGACCCGCTGAGTTTGGGGGGATGTTGGTATGGAGGGCTCAGGGAATTTAGACACGGTTTGAATGGATTCCTTTTTGGGAGGCCTTAGATTTCACCATGCCCGTTCTCAAAATGCGGCGCCCCCCCAAAAAAAGAAAAGAAAGATAAGAGACAACAATTGCAATGGTGGGTGTCCTTCTGGTTTCCTTCAGCCCACCTTGCGCCTACTCCCCAGGATAAAGTGAGTGCTTAGCGCCGGCGTTTTCTTCCCAAGTGGAACCCATTGGAACTGAGCCATCTTTGGAAAAGTCACGAGGTTGCCGAGAGAGCAGAGAGCAGTGACACCTTTTCTGAGGCAGCACCCTTGTCTTATATCGCGACCAACCACGAGAAGGGTGTTTGATCATGGTAAAACGTTTTTGGGGGTCGCTGAAACCAATTGAAACCAAGGCCCTTTTGAAGATCACCCGATGGGAGAATCAACATTGGCCCCTTCAGGTGATGTTGAAATCGCCTCTAAGGGTACCAAAATATGGGTGCGACTTGTTTTTGGAAAGGTACCCATTCACTCTCAGTCCTTTGGTTTTTGTTGGCGTTTCTTGAGGCTTGCTGCCAATTTTTTTTCGGGTGGCGTTAAAGGGAAACCAAAGTGAAGCCGCATGAAGCCGCTGCTTTTGGGCTAGTCATGGTCATCGCCATAGTTGTCTGTTTAGGTCCGTGGGCTAAAAATGAATGGCACCAGCTTCAGGTTGATTCCAGTCATTTCCCAGCGCCGTCGCTCCAACAACACAGCAACAACCAGCCAGCATTTCAACCCGGGAGCCAGAAAACCATTCAGCAATGGATTTAGCAGCCAGTCACCAAGCCAACCAGAAGAGCCCTCGACACCAGCTTGCGTTTAGGTGTTTGGCAAAACTCCCAATTTGACATTCCTTGTGCTCAAGGATCAAGGGGTTTATCCCACTTGTGTGATACTTTCGGGAATCCCTTCTTTATATGGCGGGTGAGTCTTTGGGGTTAGGCCCTTTTTGTTGTATCAGAGACTCGTGGATTCCGTTTCCCACAGCCCTGCTTGTGCTTGAGCGGGCGTTTTGCCATCATGAAAAAATATTGCTGGCGCTTGTCATGGCTTACAATCACTGAGCCTGGCGTCCAAACCGGAAGTTGGAAACCCAAACCGGAGCCGCTCTCATGAGCCGACGTCTCCCACTTCGCACGGCTCGCGTTTTTCGGGTGTCCCCTTTTGTAGGGTTCCCCTGTTTGTTTGCAAGAACAAAAATAACTCCATCCGACCCTTGGCATTTTTGCAGGAAAAAACAACAACTCCATCTGACCCTTGGTTTTCCCCCAAAAAAAACAACAGAGCAACCTACCAAAAACCGACCCCTCGGCCGCCTCGGCCCCGACTTCCCGACTTCGAGCGCTCAGGAAAGGGGTGGAGGGCGTGCTGCTGCGCGACGTGCGGCCCGCCCGCTTGCAGGGCGTGCCCGCGCGCCATGACGGGAACGGAGCAACGGAGCAACGGAGCAAGGCTACCCCCACGCTCCACCCAACGCCCCAGGTGAAAGGGGTCTCGGAAGCCAAAGGGGGGACTTTTAAATGGCTGTGGGTCAAAACCAATGATACCATTTTGGGGCACCCATTTTAGTCTATTTTAGTGGGGATTGGGATGTTTACTGGGGGTACGATTTGGCTTTTGACCCCTGGCCAAATATATAAACCACCGGGCTCCAAACCACCAACTAGACGAGGTTTTTCAGCAGTGCCACTTCTCACCCGATTTTTTGGGCGACTGAGGGTTCCCCGTGTCTTAAAATAGGCTAAAGGGTACCCGTATTCTAACCTCTCTACCGGAGGACCTTGTAGAGGTGAAACTAGCAACAGAGACTTGAGCGCCCTTTTTGCTTCCATGGCCACGGTTTAAACCGCGCCATTTGCCATTTGTGCGCAGATCTTGCCGACCTTTTTGTGTTTCTTCCCCCAGCTCCGTTTGGGGCTCGATTTTCCTTTGCGGGGACCCGGTTCGGGGAAACCAAAGGAAAACCGAGGGCGGGTGGACTTTGGAGGGTCCGATTCGAGACGAAGCCATAGTCAAACGAAGGAGACATGGCTCACTTGTTCAGTGGCCCCCTGTTTTTTTACTACTTTTTTTTTTATAGTGGCTGCCCCACTAAAAATCCGGTCTTCCCAACAAAGGGCTCCAATTCTTTTTTTCCAGGGTCACTGAACAACTGAGATGGTCATGTTTTTTCTCCCGGAATCCTTATGCTTGAGGCTAAAGAAACCGAGCAGCCGAAGGGGGTAGTTTGACCATCCAAGTACGAGGCGCCAATTCGATGTATGGGGGCCCTGAAACAGCCAGGTTTTGAGACCCCCAAACGAACCCTGCGGCGGTGTCTAATAGAGGGGTCGGGTCTTCCATTGAAAGCCCCAGCCTCTGGGTAGGGTAGTTTGACCACGCATATGTGTGGCGACCAAGGCGTATGAGAAGGGTTGCCTGATTTCCTCATTTTTCATGGACAAGCTCGGGCACCTGTTGGTGGTTTGTCAACCAGTTGCGGAATTCATCCATCCAACTGGTGCAGGGCTCTCGGATTCCGTCCATCCACGATATGAAGGGGTCCATCCTTGATCCCAAGCAGCTTGGTTTCTCTTGAACACGACACCGAACGTATTGATATGCCCTAAATAGATTAAAATCTGGGTGAGTCTTACAATAGGGGATCCTTAAAAGTAGTGGTTGTCCTCTTGGTTTCCCTACCAAAATTCGACCGAGCCCAAGAAGTTAGTTCACCTTTCGCCTCCCAGAAACAAAAAGGAGGCCACGAGCGCCACGCCTTTGTTTCGGTCGCGGATCTGATCCGCGGTAGCCTCTCCTCCAACATGGAAACTCCCACCCAGCCACCCACCCAGGACCCCTTTCCATTTGCATCGGCCTGGGAGCGTCCGGTCAGAGCGGCTCGATGGCCCCAGGAACTTGGCTTTCTACCTCGCCTGGCAGGAGGTAAGGCGTCCGAAGAGGGAGGACAAGCCGAAAGCGCCTCGCTTGGGGCTGGGGGGTGGGTTGGGGGGGGGTGGGGTTGCCGGGGGGGGGAGGGCAGGTGGGGGGGCATGGGGGGGGGGGCGGGGCGCGTGGGGGTGGGGCGTTTTTGGTTTCGTAGGCCAAAGCTTTTGGGCGGGCGCTTTTGGCAAAAGCGCCGAAAGAGCGGCAGGCTGCACAGGGCTCCTTAAAAGAAATCTCCATGTTGCCACCATTTGAAACATGTGGCTTTTTCACCAAAATAAATGGAAACAACCACCATTTACAAGTTGCAATGTTCAGGTGTTTTTTATGCAAGGATCCCTGCTGCATGCTGCATAGTTCTTGACAAGTGCTGAAAAAAGGCGTGCGGAAAGAGCACGACACTTGGGTGGAATTCCCAGAGTTGGAGCATCTGAACTGTCTAGACTGAGCACGTATTCTTCTTGTGCGCGTTTGTGTTTTGAGGATACCATCACCTTGAACGAGGCTCAGTTAACAGGGCTCCTTAAAAGATACATTTTGCAACCATTTGAAACATATTGCTTTTTTAACAAAACAAAGTTGGACACCTCCATTTACAAGTTGCAATGTTCAGGTGTTTTTCATGTAAGGATCCCTGGTTACACACATCCGTATACAAACCTGTGGCTCAATATGGCTTCAAGCCCCCCATTGAAACGAGGCAGACCGCGGCCGCATGGGGTCTAGGGTAATGTTGACCCCAGATCTTCATCAACCCCTGTGAATAGCGGGCTGTTAACCTGAGAGACATGCGGTTGGAATCAGACCACTCTCGGCGGGGCCCCCACTTATTCTATACTGGAGGACCTAGCATTGTTTGTTGGCATTTACTGGGGAATCATCATGCCCTTTAAAAAGGGGGTCATTCCCCTAAATAATGGAAGTCATGGACCTATTTTTGAAGGGTCATGGAGACTCCAGGTACTCACCCACTACACTAGACTACAGAAAAAATGGGTACCCTCATTCTCACCTTGTTACTGGAGACCCTAGACACGCGTACTCGCCCGCGCCCACCCCGACTGCAGCGCCCACCCCAAGGTTTTCTCGCCGAGTGGCGACGGTGTGTCCCTGGCGGAGGCACGGCGCTGCCACGTCCCGCTGAAGCTGTTGCAGCGAGTGCGCGCTGCCTGGCGAGGAAAAGATGTGGTTGTTTTTTTTGGGGAAGCCTTTTTTGGTTGGTGTGAAAGGGAAACCAGCCATTTGTTGTTGGTGTTAAAGGGAAACCAGCTTTCTGCGGGGACTCCTACAAATAGACAAACCCCTATAAAGGGTGATCACCTTTTGCCGATTGGACCAACTCAGGGAATCCAGTAAAATGGGTTATAACCGCATGAGGGAAAACTGGGGTTTCTACACAACGGTTTGGATTTGCGCCTTTGGTGGATTTCAGCTGTTAAGTTCCCTTGTTGGTCCTTTCTAGTAATCTTTTACTACTCTTTTCATATCCTACAGCGGTGGTTCTACAAAAGACACATCCAAACTTGACTGCTATTGGGTTGGATCTTTAGACTTTAACCTTTTGGGAAATCAAGGGGTTTTCCGCTAACCCCCCCCCCAAAAAAAGGAAAAGAAAGAAAGAACAAGAAAAGTGAAAAGCTTTTTGCCAAAAAGAAGAGAAAAGTGAAAAGAAACACTTTTTGCAGGGGGATCAACAGCAACCAAGCAAATGTCTTGAGAGAAAGAGACTCAGTTCACAGCTGACCTTTAGAGCGTTTAGTTTCCGCTTGTTGGTCAAAGGCCCCGAAAGGCGAACCATTCATTTCTAGGCCCTTTGGGGGCAAGTGAGGAGATACTGTGGCTCAGTTGTTCAGTGGCACCCTTTTTCTTCTTTTGGCGGCCCCACTAAAAATGGTCTTCCAACCAAAAGGGTTCCCTATTTTTTCCTGGGTCACTGAACAACTGAGGTGGATTGATAACTGCGCCAGTTCGGGATGAAGCCTAGGTCTGGGGCAAACCACCTAGTGCTGACCCCGGAACGCCCCTGTCCTGTGAGTAGACTTTGGTGCATTTTGCCAAGGGATGTGAGGACTTTAACTTTTTGCCAACTAATGGGTTTTCCGTACTAAACCACTCAAAGGTAAACTTTATCAGGGCTTCGCAGATTTCGCCACCGAGTAGGGGGGGTGTTGCAGACCCCAAAAGTGGACTAGCCGCTAACTGGGGTCGCTTTGCGGGTTGGTTCCCATTCGCTCGCTTGGCCCACTGGCGCCGTGGATTTCGCTCCGTCTAGACCTGGGCATCTCTTTCTTGGGATAGCCTTTGGAGTTCAAAGGAAAAGCAAAATTGAATGACTCTTTTGGAGTGCCGCTTGGATTCATTTGGCCGGTCAACACCGTTTTGGTTGATCCCATTTTGGTGGGGATTGGTGAATTCGCCACCCATTTTAGGCGTCCTTTTTTAGTGGTTGGATTGGTTGATGTTCACTGGGGGCCAACCGGGGTTTGGACCCATGACCATTTGGAAGCCAAGAACAGACAGGGGGAGGGCTCAGGAAACACGATGCGCCGCATGAGGATTTTCTCCCAGCCGGGATGGGCGGCAAACGAAGTCTGCAATGATGACTTCCCCTAGCCGCAAAGCAATAGTGGGAATATGTATATTTGTCCAGGGGACTGAAGCAAATGGACGTTAGTGGTATACACCAGCTAAATTACAAAAGGGCACATACCACCTTTTTCGTTGGATGTCAAGTGAGGGGTTGGCTTGGTGATTTAGACGTAGCCTTTGAGGGACCCAGCGAGAGATTCTAGCTGCACCTTCTCCATTCTCTTCAGGGATCCTTCTCTTCAAATAAGTGCAAAACCTCTGGGACAATGGGTGGTTCTACACAGAACGATGGGTGAAGAGAATGTGGAATCAACGCTTGGCAGGATACTCAACAAAAGGACACAGTCATATAGCGAGCTCAGCGACAGCCAGACACCTCCCATGGTCAGTAACTGGTGCCACGCTCAGTTTTTTGTCACATCAATCTGAGATCGTTTCTACCCCCCCCAAACTGAAGCTACCCGTTGCTTCGATGGGATATGCAGCCACTATATTGCCACCTCACAAGGGGCATATACCCCAATTGATCCTGGGGGTAGTGGTTTGGGGGGGGACTGGAAAGTATCTTGGAGTGAAAGACCCCACATCTTCCCCAGAATCAGCTCCCCTGCTTTTTTGGGGGTCCCTTTGTTTCTAACCAGGCAAAAAACATATTTTTTGCTGAGGTCCGGTTTTTCCAGCCGAGACATGAATTGATCAGAAACCTCGAAACCTCGGTTGGATCCCAATGAGGTGAACTGCTCATGTGTGTGTGTGTGCTTTTGAGGGTAGCGTTTTGGGGGTTTGAAGGAAGCCCAAGGGATTACCCAAGCGTGTGTCAAATTGCCTCTGATGATTTCTCTCGAGGGAGCGTTTGTTTTTCCCAAGATCCCCCCTCTTGCCCCCCTCCCCTAGTTTTAATGAACTTGTGAGACTATGGGATAGTCAGATACTCAACGAATAACATGGAAGTGCACAGACCTCTGAAAGAAAAACGTTCCTCTGAACCTTTGTGCGGTTCCATGCGGTTAAGTCTGCTAACATGGAACATGATTTTCCGGGGTCCTGGTTAAGACAACATTTGAGCCGCAATCAAAACAGCCTTCGTTGGTTTCACGGAGTGCAGAACTTGATGTACAGATCAACTTGCTCATTCACCTTCTTTCGCTCCTTGGGTTTGAGCCTTGAATTCTGGGCAAAGCCCCAGGCGACAGACAGCTTCGCTATCGCCAGCCGCAATCAAAACCCGGGTAGATGAAGGTTAGCAAGGGGCAGTCGCCAGAAATAGTTTCGGAAATCCGCCTTCTGAATCATTGAAGCATGGTTCTCGGGAGACCATTTTAATACCAGGGTGTGATTGCGACTCATTTGCCTGTGCAATGGGACCTCTGGTGGGTTCCACGAATAGCATAACTAGGTCCCCCAGTAGGGGCCTTTTACCCTTTTTGGGGGAGGGTTCCCCTACTAAAACAGACCACGGAAAAAGTGGGTACCCTTATTCTAACCTCTCAAATCTGGAGGACGTAGTCGGGGTCCTGCTTTAACATGTGCCTTTACCGTGACATTTCTGGTGGGTTCAATAGCATAATATGGCTATGGGTCATAACCTATACCTCCATCCATGTACCACCTATTTTGATGTTCATTTGCGGGTTCCTGGGTGTTGACCCACGGCCATAGATTTTTTGTCTACCGCCTCATGGCTTCCAATGGGCTTTGTTTCTGCCGAGGCTTCGTTGAGCGGCAGCCAGGGACTGCTTGGAGATGAACTCAGCATGCCGCTCGCCGATCGCCGATGCGCGCGGCTTTTCTGCTCGCGATGTCAACCGTTGCAAGTTGCTGGCAACCGTTGTTTGTATGCAACGGTTTATAGGGGTGATACCAACTCATTCCAATGGATTCCCCAAATAAAATTGGTGATCCCCGAGGTGTTAGTTTTTTGTGTGGCTGGTTCTGATTCCAACCCAGATTCGTCTATTTGCTGAAATTAATATGTTGTGCATTTTCCCTGTGGGTTTTAACGGGAATGAAGATTGTGACTTTTGGACATATCTTATTATTATGTTTTGCAGAGGACTTAAGCAAATGGAGGTATACGGTACGGGCCGTATGGGTGTTTGTTTGTTTGTGTGTGTGTGTGTTTGCCTTTTTGGAGGGTCCTGCAAAGGAGTTGGTGCAAAGGGAGACCAAATCGGAAGCCACCAAATTTTGGTGAGGTACCCTTTTTTGGGGGTTGGTTTCAAGGCACGCCAAAAGCCTAGGGGAAGCTTCATGTTCATTCTTTCCAGGGGGATGGGCACTGGTTCAAACTCGGGCTGCCTTTTCTCGAGAACCCCAAAGGAGGTGGTTCAATCAATGGTGTCTCCTTTTTTCCCCGAACTTTTTCAAAGCGGTCGGCCGAATCCATGGGTTCGTGGCCGATGTTTATTATGGCCAAGGCGCTGGAACACTCCTTTTGGGGAGTGTTCGACCCAGTACAGTGGGCATAAGGGTATCTACCTGTATGTCTTTGGTGCATTTTGCTTGGCTGCTAGGACTTTAACTTTTTGCCAACTAATGGGTTTTCCGTACTAGACCACTAAAAGTTAAACTTTTAGCAGGGGAGCAGAAAGCAACCGAGATTTCATGGTACCACTTACAGGGTTGACTTGGGTGTCAGCGCGTCTAAAACTCCAGGGACCGACCATCATGGTTTCCTAGCCGAAGGGCGCGGCTACGAGTTTTCTTAGGGAACCCCCTCCAAAGTGGTTGGTGGACATGGATCCCCGAAGTTTGATGTCCACCAAAGGTCCCTAATTAAAGTTCAGACCCAAGTGGCACTTTTAGTGACACTGCCGTAACTGACCGAGAAGGTCAGTTGCCCAAAGCGGCCGATCGAAACGACCTTCTGGCTTTCCCATGTTGGTCCATGTTTAGTCATTGGCCCAAAAGGTCAGCCTTTTGTTTCGGGTGCTTTGAGCAAGCGAGAGACATAAGAGGGGAACATCCACTGACCCAAAGCTTTGGAAATAGTTGGCCCCTGTCGTAAGCATAACCAGAGCTCCCGCTTAAAGCGTCCCAAAACGTTTTAAAACGTCTCGCGAAGAGCATTTTCTTAAGCTTTCTTCTCGGAACAGGCATCACTGTCGAAGATCGGAAGGCCCAGACCTACCTGAATTGGCCAAAGACCTTCAAAGCTCGGAGACATTCGCGGGCCCTGTCGCGATTGGAACGCGCAAGGCCAGCGATTTCAGAGGGTTTCCAAGTATAGTAATATTGGACAACCCCCATAAATAAATATAGATACATATGCATATATATATATGCATATATATATATATTATACACACAAAAACAGGACCGTTTGATGTTTTACCCTGGTTCTGAGTCCATGTTCCCAAGTCTTGATGCGGGAAATCTCCCTTGAACGTTTGGGCACCTGAGTTTTGCAGCAGTAAATTTCGGCTTGCTCAACTTGCAAGACAGACTTTGAGGAACACACGTGCGCATCAGACCTGTACAATCTTGTTTGTTTATTTTTCAGCGAGTTCAGCCGAGGGTAAAGCGAGCCCACCATTGGACCATGATACAGGTCCTTTGCTGGGGATCCAACTCTAGATTCAGGTTTTGGAATTGTAGTAAGCTTTGCAGATTCATGTCTCAACGGCAAACTCCTGGGTTCCACTTGGTTGTTACTGCCATCCCCACACCTTTAAAATGGAATTGGGGAAGGGGCGACCCCTAGAATAGAGTATTTTTCGTTTTTTTTTCCTTGGTCGGTGTTAAAGGGAATCTAGCACTACTGGTTAAGTATATTGTTTGTTTATATATTTTTATATATTTTTCCCGGTGGCTAAAGATAACACACACATGGAAGTGACCGGTCATTGGTGCGATGGCAAGCCAGAGGAGCATGTCTAATTTTAGGTGTGGGGAACACGCACATGGAAGCATTATTGTTTATTCTTCAGATCAGAACTACTGGTTTAGTATTCTCTCATTTTCCCAGAGGCCGAAGACTCACATGGAAGCCATATTGTCTTTGCTGCATTTTGCTTGGATGTTAGGACTTTAACTTTTTGCCAACTAATGGGTTTTCCGTATTAAACCACTAAAAGTTATTCATGTTTAGCAGGGAGCAGATTTCGCAACCGAGTTGTTTCTTCAGATGGCCATGGTTCAAAACCAATGGCACCATTTTGGGATAGGTGAATTCACCACCCATTTTAGGACCTATTTTGGTGGTTGGATTGGGATGGCCAGGTCAAAACCAAATGTTGTTGGCATGTTTTTAGGCTTTGTGGTTCTGTTCCTGTTTAGTAGTGGGCTGCAAACCGAATTGTTTCTTCAGATCAGAACCAAACAAGCTTTGAGCATCAAGCTGTTCGCGTCCCAGGCAACAGCTCCTCGAGGACTCCGAGCCGGGCGACTTCGAGCCAGGCGTGCGACTGAGAGTTTTTTTTTCTTCGGAGTTGGAACCTGGGATATGTTTTCCGTTTTTCCGTTGGATGTTTTTTTTTCCCCCCCGGAGGAGTTGGAAACCGCGAAGAATGGATGTTCAGCATGAATGGTCCGAAATTGTCCAAGAAAATCAAAGTACATTTTTTGGTTGATTTCGGATTCCGAGGGGTATAGCCTGCAATTTCATGCTCCAACATCGACCTGGAAGGCTGGGAAGGTTTCAAGATGCAACATCTTGGGTCGACGGTTTCATGTTTGGGCCCTTTCCTTCAAAGGGAAGACGAAGGAGGCCACTTTCACGAAATGGGTTCCCCATTTGGAAACAACGCGTGTTCTTTTTGGAACTGCTGCCCTGGGGTCCTTTCGTGGTTTTCAGGGCCCGGATTTTTTCTTGGAAACACCCCCCCCATTTGTTCATGCCCATTTTTAGAGTTGGGTTCCGCGACTCGAGGAATTGGTTTTGACTTTTACTGGATGACATGAGATGCTGGGGATGTCCTAGATCCCCCAGTAGTGCCCTTCCTCCCCTTTTTTTGGGGAGGGTTCCCCTACTAAGATAGACTACAGCAAAAAGTTGGTACCCTTATTCTAACCTCTCTACTGGAGGACCTAGTTCATGCCCACCAACCACTTTTCAAGGAGCTCGAAGTTCATGGTCAGTTAAATGGCCCTCAAGCTTGCAAGCTTTGACAACCGCCGAAGCCTGCAGTTCGTTCCACGCTTGCTTGAAACAAGTGCGCAGCTCAGATCACCCGTGCTTTTTTTTGGCCGCAAAGTGACATGAGTAGCACTTTGGTGCATGTTGCTTGGGTGTTAGGACTTTAACTTTTTGCCAACTAATGGGTTTTCCACTAAACCACCAAAAGTTGAACTTTTAGCAGGGGAGCAGAAAGCAACCGAGAGCAGGTCACTCCCACATTCCCTAAGAAGCAAGAGGGGGTACCTTCAGTTGGTTGCTTGAACTCGTGGAGAGATGTACGAGAAGGTCAATAGGAAACCACCCAAGGTCCAAACCACCAGTCCGAATCCAACATGGCGTGAAGCTGATGAGAATAATTCACATGCCTAGCCAGCTGCTCGAAGCAATGTCATCATATGTGCGGTTTGCGTTGCCCAGGCATACGCTCGGCATCCAGCAACGAAATTGCAGGCGGGAATTGAACAAGGGTCCAGATTCATCAATGCCTTCCGCTCTGTGTGTGTGTGGTCTTGGTGGCTCCCAGCCATCCCCTCAGCTTTTTAGACTTTCCGTGTGTTTTTTTAGGGGTTTCCATTTGACCCACTAAAACATATTCACTTTTAGCAGGGGATTCACAAACGTTGTACATTGTATTTTGGTACTCTGGCCAAAAATCATCTGGCCATGGGGCATAGCCTATGGCGATCCCATTTTTGGGCGGATGAACATCCATTTGCCAGCGATTTTGATGTTCATCAGGGGTTTCCAGGGTTTTGACAACCACAGCCATCGAAATTAATGTTGACCCAGGATTAATAAACCCGTCCCTATAGGGGGGTGTTCCCTCCAAAAGTGGTCTGAATCCCACTAAAAGTTGGAACACCCCCCCTAGTCAACCAGGGGTTCTACTTAGATCCGGGGTTGACATTACCAAGCCCAGTGGTGTGTGGATTTTGTCTCGAGCGCCTTAGGGACTCAAGGCGAAACGAGCAATTGGTCCCCCACAAATCTGGTGCCGTCTCGACCTCTCAAAAGCCCCCGTTTTTTGGGTTGCGAGGGAGGGGTCCCTTTTCTAAAATAGACGAAAAAAGAAAAAGTGGGTGCCAACTTATTCTAACCTCTCTGCTGGAGGACCTAGCGAGGCATGTATCCTTCATGTGGCTAGACTTAGATGGGTATAGTCCTGTTTCACTTTGGTTCGTCGACACGACAGCCGAAGCAACAGAGGGCGCTGACCAATCAAAACGGCCCGTTTATGTATGGGATGACTAGAAGGGAAAGAAGGTTGAAACACATTTTTTGGCCGCTGCTCCTAGTAGTCTTTGGTCCACTTTGATAGGGTTGATTGGGTTCATTGGGTTGATTGGGTTGATTGGGTTGATGGATTGATGGATTGATGGATTGATGGATTGATGGATTGATTGATTGATGGATTGATTGATTGATTGATTGATTGATGGATGGATGGATGGATGGATGGCTGGATGGATGGATGGATGGATTGATTGGATGGATGGATGGATTGGATGGATTGATTGGATTGATTCGATTGATTGGATTGATTGGATTGATTTGATTGATTGGATTGATTTGATTGATTTCATTGATTCATTGATTGATTGATTGATTGATTGGATTGGATTGATTGATTGATTGATTGATTGATTTTTTGATTGATTGATTGATTGATTGATTGATTGATTGATTGATTGATTGATTGATTGATTGATTGATTGATTGATTGATTGATTGATTGATTGATTGATTGATTGATTGATTGATTGATTGATTTGATTGATTTGATATTGATTGATTGATTGATTGATTGATTGATTGATTGATTGATTGATTGATTGATTGATTTGATTTGATTGATTGATTGATTGATTGATTGATTGATTGATTGATTGATTGATTGATTGATTGATTTGATTTCAATTGACTTGAATTGAATTGTTTGATTTGATTTGATTGTTTGATTGATTGATTGATTGATTGATTGATTGATTGATTGGTTCATTGGACGGATGGATGGATGGATGGATGGATGAATGAATGAATGAATGAATGAATGAATGAATGAATGAATGGGTGGGTGGATGAATTGATCGGATGGATGGATGGATTGACTGACTTGACTCTGACTTGACTTGCTTGACTTGACTTGATTGACTCTCTGAGTTCCGTTTCAGACTTTAGTCACTCTTTGATAAGCCTATTTTTGTGGTAAATAGCAAAGTTGATGACGTTTCTGGCTAATTCGCTCAAGTGAGTCAACCAGAGAAGTTTGACGACCATGGGAACCGGCTCCTATGGGAACCGGCCAGATTCGGATGTTTGACCACGCCCGCTTGCGCGCACGCGCGCGTGCTTGCTTGCTTGTCTGCATAATTATGTTCGTCTTTGCGTACTTGTTTCTTTGCTTTGTGGGTGTGTGCTTCTTTGCCCTTTGGCATGGTTTTGATCTGGTGGGTTGCTACGTAGGTATCATGGCATTTCGTCCGTGGCTGCCGTTCATTCTTGTTTTCTTCGCATTTGAGCTTGGTGTGGTCATGGTGTTGGTCCCGATCACCTCGATGTTTAGGAACGCCCCTGATGTTTTCAGCTAGTTCCCCTTTTGGGATGTGGTGCGTTCTCTTCTGCAAGTCTCTTTTCTATTTTGCTAGGGCACTTTGGTGATGCCCCCCCCCCCCCCAACAGGGTACCACCGCGCCTTGGTTGGTTGGTCAGTGGGGATGCCCCCCAAAAAACCGGTTACCGCTCCTTGCCGAACCGGACCCCAGAGAATGCGCAACCCGGACGGCTCCAGGTCCAGGTAAAGCTACTGATGCAAACATCTCAGCGCTGGCAAAAAAAAAACGAAGTGACAGCAAACACGTCTACCCCCCCCCCCCCCCCCGGCCTGTTGGATTTTGGCGTGTTGAACGGGAACCGCCAAAGGAAGCCAACCTGACACAAACCCAAGTAAAGTATATATGTGTCTCAGTCTCTTTGAAAGGCACTGGGCGCAGATTCAGCGAGCGAATCGGCCTTTCCCCTTTTGGTCAAACTAATTTGGTCCATGTTGGCTCCAATGAGGACTGATCAATGGTGTGGTTACCTTAAGTCTTGCATGTTGAACTCTTGGAACCCATCAAAACCAATAGTACCATTTTGGGGTGGGTGCACCACCCATTTTAGAACCTATAGTGGGGATTGGGATGTTCACCGGAGGTACAATTTGGGTTTTGACCCATTTCAACCCATTAGATCCACTTCGAGCCCCAAAAAACCACGACAGGTGACCTGCGGACTGAAGACCTTTTTGGCGGCTGCCTCAGAGAAACGACCGGGCGAAAGAAGTGGGAAAACGCGACCCTGGCCCATGTCGTTTGCATACTGTGGACGGACAAAATCCATTTCGCACCACTTGGAAACCATGGTTGACACCCTTTCTTTGTTGGTATTTACAGGGAATCATCCTTCCAGGGCCCCGTTGTTCAGTGGCACCCTTTTTCCTTTTCCAACTTTTTGTTGGTGGCCCCACTAAAAATGGTCTTCCAACCAAAAAGGGTTCCAATTCTGCTTTTTCCAGGGTCACTGAACAACTGAGCATAGGTGTTTTGTTTTTAGGTTAGCTTGATTAGATGCATCTAGTCCTCTGGCGGGTTTCATAGCTAGGTCCCCAGCTAGGTGCCCTGAAAACCACATTTCTTTTTTTTGGGGCGAGGGAGGGTTCCCCTACTAAAATAAACCAAAGAAACAAGTTGGTACCCTTATTCTAACCTCTCAAATCTGGAGGACCTAGAAGAACGAGACCCTGGCCCACGCCTTTTGGCCAATTTTTAGGTTAGCTCGATTAGAAATAGATGGGTTCCACTGGTTTAGATGGGTTTCATTCCATTTACCAGGGCCATCTATTTTTCCAAAAGGCCATCCATGGTTTTTTGGCTAATCATGCTGAGCGTCTTTGGTGCGAGCGAATCGCAGAAAACGTCTGGGAATTTGAATTAGGTGTTCCATTAAACCTACAGGCAAAAAAGAGTTTTGACAAGAGCCAGACCCTGGCCCCTTCGGCTGCAAATGGGTTTTCTAATTCGAACTAGCTACTTGTTCCTGTTATGAAACGTTGGATATTTTGCTGCACATCTTGCTGATCCTCTAAAGCGCACTTTGCGATCTTGCAGAGGGCCCCTTTGGCGGAGTCATTCATTGGAGAGAAGCGGAGTTTTCATGTGCATCGCAGGATTCTCGCATTGAGCTGAGCAGCTCCTCTGAAGAAGCCGTATGGACCTTCGGACCGGTTTCCGGCAAGCACGATGTGCGTTTCTCAAAATGGCGAACTTCCCTTTTTGCGTAGTGTTTCAAGCAAATCCAAAGTGAACATGCTGTATTCACCATATTCAGTCCCTTCAAGACACCCAGTTGCGAGAGAATGCGAGGGGCGAATTGCGCCGGCTCTGAATTTCATGTTTGGGTTCTCTTCGAGATAAATAGAGAGAGAGAGTTGGTTTTTTGCAAGGCCATAGAAACTAGGTCCCCCAGTAGTGCCCGTTTACATCCGTTTAGCCCTTTTTTGGGGGAGGGTTCCCCGACTAAAATAGACTACAGAAAAAAGTTGGTACCCTTATTCTAACCTCTCTACTGGAGGACCTAGGAAAGGGTCGTAAAACCACGAGTTTTTCCCGGCCTTCCCCCATTAAACTCAAATCTCTAAGGCTTCGGAAGTTGATCCCGTAAGGGGCGAGAGTTTTTTTGTTTCTTTTCCCCGGGAAAAAATGAGGTTTTCTGGAAAGGATCCCTGGAAAGAATGGCCAAGTTACATGGCCGGTGCCCCTCCCAGGACCCCTTGGAGCGCATTTTTTTTGAGGGGCCTTGGGAGGTGAAAGGCCCTCATATGTAAAAGCTTTGGTACATTTTGCCAAGGGATGTTAGGACTTTAACCGTTTTCGCCAACTAGTTTTCCCGAAAAAAAACACCACTAAGAGTTCAACTTTTAGCAGGGGAGCAGAAAGCAACAGAGCTTAGGCTCCAAGGGGCTAGGGCCTAGGAAGTGAGCTGCGGAAGTCGTTGATTCTCCTTCGCCTCGCATGTGAGGTGACGTGGTCCAGGCAGGAGAGTCGGACATTCGAAAGGAGGGCCATTTTTTTTAGGTTTTTTTTTGTTTTTTTTTAGGAATTGTTTTTGTTTTTCAGGGTCGGTGGCTTTTCGGCTTTTTGGCTTTTGTGGCTTTTACGTGGGTTTTTGTGGCTTTTGTGGCTTTTCATTTCGCATCATCTGCATTCACAGTTCCTCTCTTTTCGCATCCTCTGCATTGCCAGTTCCGCTGCGGCAGGTGGCTTTTTGGCTTTTTGGCTTTTTGGCTTTTTGGCTTTTTGGCGGCTTTCTGGCTTTGGCTTTTCGCATCCTGATGCTTTTCCAGTTGGCTTCCTGCATCCTCAGCATCGCCAGTTCCTCTCTGGGCCCCCCGCCACCCCCCTTTCGATTAAAATGCACGCCTATTTGAATCATCACTTTTTCGATCATCATGCGACAGCTACTTTTTAGATTCTTTGCCCCTATTTTTTCGATCATCATGGGGGGGGGTGCCGTTTTACAGGGATTAGTTTGCCCGTATTTGAATCCTCACTTGTACCATGAGGCCTTGCCGCAGAGGAACTGATGACCCCCCTGCTGTTTTTTTTTTTCTTTTATAAATATTTGTTTGGCCCTAATTGAATCATCACTTTTTCAATCATCATGGGGGGGGGCTGCCGCCCCCCCCAACCCCCCCGCAATTTTTTAGACTTTTTGCCCCTGATTGAATCATCACTTTTTTGATCATCATGGGGGGGGGCTGCCGCCCCCCCCAACCCCCCTGCTATTTGTTGGACTTTTTGCCCCTAATTGAATCATCACTTTTTTCGATCATCATGCGACCGCTACTTTTTAGATTCTTTGCCCCTAATTTTTCGATCATCATGGGGGGGGCTGCCGCCCCCCCCAACCCCCCCGCTATTTTTTAGACTTTTTGCCCCTGATTGAATCATCACTTTTTCGATGGGGGGGGGCTAGCCCCCCCCAACGCTATTGCCCCTATTGAATCATCACTTTTTTCGACTTTTTGCCCCTGATTGAATCATCACTTTTTCGATCATCATGGGGGGGCTGCGCCCCCCCCCCCCAACCCCCCGCGCCTTTAATTGAATCATCACTTTTTCAATCATCATGGAGGGAATTGCCGCCCCCCCCCCCCCGCTACGTTTTAGGTGTTTTACAGGGATTAGTTTGCCCGTGTTTGAATCCTCACTTGTACCATGAGGCCTTGCCGCAGAGGAACTGATGACCCCCGGCTGTTTTTTTTTTTTTTGTTGGCCCTTTTTGAATCATCACTTCTTCAATCATCATGGGGGGGGCTGCCGCCCCCCCCAACCCCCCCGCTATTTGTTGGACTTTTTGCCCCTAATTGAATCATCACTTTTTCGATTATCATGCGACCGCTCCTTTTTAGATTCTTTGCCCTTAATTTTTTGATCATCATGGGGGGGGCTGCCGCCCCCCCCCAACCCCCCCGCTATTTTTTAGACTTTTTGCCCCTGATTGAATCATCACTTTTTCGATCTACAGGGATTAGTTTGCCCGTATTTGAATCCTCACTTGTACCATGAGGCCTTGCCGTAGTGGAACTGTTCACCCCCCCGCTGCTTTTTTTTATATATATTTTTGGCCCTAACTACGTTTTAGGTGTTTTACAGGGATTAGTTTGCCCGTATTTGAATCCTCACTTGTACCATGAGGCCTTGCCGCAGAGGAACTGACCCCCCCCCCCACTGTTTTTTTTTGTTTTTGGCTTTTTTTAATATTTGTTTTGGCCCTTTTTGAATCATCACTTCTTCAATCATCATGGGGGGGGCTGCCGTCGTCACTTTTTCAATCATCATGGGGGGGGCTGCCGCCACGTTTTAGGTGTTTTACAGGGATTAGTTTGCCCGTATTTGAATCCTCACTTTTACCATGAGATGCGGGAAGCCAATTTGCTGGTGATGCTGGGGATGTTGGCTGGACATGCGGGGGATGTTGAAAACGATGCTGATGATGTTGACGGACTAGCGTAAAATACGTACATTTCGCGAGAAAATGCTGTAAATTACAGCCTTTTAGTAGCCAGGACGGAAAAAAAAAAACATCCCAAAATAAAACAAAAAAAATCCCAAATTAAATCTCGACCCCATTCGAAAACAGTTGCTGTTTGGATGTGGCGCCCCTGTAGGATATTACAAGAGTACTGAAAGATTGCTGGAAAGAACCAACAGGTGAAAGAGCGGGTGAAATCCACAAAAGCGCATCCAAACCGTCTAGTAACCCCAGTTCTCCCTCTTATACCCATGGTTATAGTCAAAAAAATGCTAAGGTTGAACATCCAAGCAGTGGGTTGCTCCCTTTATACTTGCCCTAGATCGATCGGATCTAGGCTGGATTCCCTGAGTATTTCCAATCGTCGAAAGGTGATCACCCTTAGGGTTTGTCTATTTGTAGGCGACCCCACAGAATGCTGGTCACCAACAAGCAATGGCTGGTTTCCCTTTCACACCAAGCAAAAAACAAATCCTTCCCAAACAAAAATCACACTCATGCAACCAAGTTTTTGATGGGCAAGTCTGAGGGGGTTCCCGTTGTGCAATCAACGACCAACACAAAGAGGGCCTTTGTTTCTTCCATGGAATTCTGCTGGGGGTCTGGAGAACATATTTGATTGGCTTTTGAAAGGGAAGCGCTTCAAGCGGACAGGTTTTGGGGTCCAAAACCCTATGTTGACATGCCCAAATACCATGGTGTCCGCATAAATGTCATGCTTGAAGGTCCAAAGAGAACCGAAATCTGAACATCACCCTGGTCAAAGACCCACAGCATACCATGGTTTAGCTTGCTTGCTTCACTTCACTTGACTTGCCCCGCTCTTTGCTCTGGCTGGTTGGGCTTGTTTGCTTTGCTTTGCTTTGCTTTGCTTTGCTTTGCTTTGCTTTGCTTTGCTTTGCTTTGCTCTGCTTTGCTTTGCTTTGCTTTGCTTTGCTTTGCTTTGCTTTGCTTTGCTTGCGCTTGCTCGATTGCGTTTCTTCACGGTGGTTGTTTTTAGTTTTCTGTTTTCATCTTTTGTATTTTTGGGTTCTGCTCATTTTTAGTGGGGATGCACAAAATCGCCAGTTTTTTGCTACCATGCCAACGCAAAGTATTGCTAGCTTGCTTGACTGACTTGCTTTGCTTTGCTTTTGGCTTGCCGAAAGCCTGCCATCCACAAAACTCCTCTGGGGGGGTCTGGTTTGGACCCTGTTTCCTAATCATTAGGTCCCCCTAGCCACCAGAAAAATCCCGTTCTCAGAACCCTGCTTGGGCTTTAGCCCTAGATTGTTCCTCCATCTAGTCCTCTGGCGGGTTTCATAGGCAACTGCCTTCAGAAAAAGCTTGACCTGACATCTGATCATTTGGGGTCAAAGGTTGCCAAAACCAACAGCAAACAGGATGCGCTCAATCCCCCTGCGAATCTCCTCAGATGTGCTTGCGCTTGCAAACCTGGGTGTGAATGATGTCACGGCGACTGGCAGGAGCCTAAGGCCTCGCGGCTGTCTGTCACAAGCTCTCGGCTGCCTGTCATATGGCCATAGGTCAAAATCCCGGTTAGCCCCCAGTGAACATCACCAATCCCCACTAAAATGGGTTCTAATTAAAATGGGTGGTGAATTCACCTGCCCCAAAATGGTACCATTGGTTTTGACCCACAGCCATATCTGTCTGTCACAGGCTCTGTCGCAGCCGTCGCTGGCTCTGTCTGTCCGTGACACTTGTTTGTCACAGACCCTGTTCACATTTACTCTAGCAACCCCATGTCCACATAACCATCAATGGGCTACCCCTCAAAGCTGCCTGGGTCATTATTTGGCTTTCCTGGGGTCCGTAAGTTTGTCAATGGTCAAACAACAAAAGGGGAAACAAGTTAACAAACATAAAACACAGACTGCCTCAATCTCTACCGCTATTGGGTTGGATCTTTAGACTTCAACTTTTTGGATTCCCTTCATATTTCCTTTTAACCAGCAAAAAGTTGAGCACTGTTTGCTGGGGGATCTACACCCAAGCAATGAGCACTGCGCTAAGACCATGACCCTTTTAGGATCTCCGCTGTTGGCGCACTTTGGGGGCCCCGGCGCGGCGCGTGATGCCCCGGACCTCGTCTCCGTCTCCTTCCCCAGAATTCGTCCCCCTTTTTTTCCTTTTTTGTTTTTTTCCTTTTTTCCTTTTTTCCTTTTTTCCTTTTTTGCTTCATTCCTTTTTTCCTTTTTTGCTTTTTTGCTTTTTTGGTTGGTCCCCTTTGTTTTCCACTAGCCAGGCTAAAAGTATGTGTTTTTTTGCTGGGGTCCTAATTCCAGCCAAGTCTCCCTCTGACCCTTCAAAAATGGGCCCACCCTGAAAAAGTTGGGCAATGATGGTCATGGAGACTCCAGGTGTCACAGAAAAGGCAAAGGAAGAAATAGGAGTTTCATTGGACCCCGCAACCAGGGCTGAGACCCCGTTGCTCAGGTCTGATATTTCCCTCTGTTAGCTTGAAGGGAATTTACCACCACTCGACATATTTGGATTTTTGCCCACTGTCGGTTCCATCTACCCCGGTTTGAATGGCAACAATTCTTTTCCTTTGATTTGAGGGCATCACAAAGAAGTCAACCCCAATCATGGGGGCTGGGGAAAAGGGGGGAGGGAGCCCAAATAAGCCTGAATAAGTCAAAACTTCCCTTCTACCAGGGTCATTGAACTGGGGCTTGGTTATCCAATCCGCTTGCCAGGATCTCAGCGCATGGTGTAAGTTACTCACTCGACATGTCTTGTGTTTTTTTGGTTTTCGTTGACCTTTTTCGGAGAAATCGAGACTTACATGGGGGGATGTCTGCCCACCAATCACCAAAGTGAGGATGTTGATTTTGTTGACCTTTTTGGAGAAATCGAGACTTGCATGGGGATTTCTGCCCGCCAATCAGTTTTGTGAGTGAATTCCGACTCGTTTGTTTATAACCAAGAGGTTATTTGAAAGGAGCATCCAGAACCCACGTACTCTTGGCGAGTTTATTGGATAACTGAGTGGCTACGACGAGACCATTTGCGGGAGCAACAAGCAGGTAGGGGAGAGCTCTGTGAGAGCTCCGTTTTTTCTCATGCACGGGCCAGGGGAGAGCTCGTTTCTTTCTTTTTTTTACAAAAAAAAAGAGCGGCAGGCTGATGGCCCGAGCGAGTTCGTGAATGTGACTTGCAAGAACGGAGTTCTGCTGTACCATTTGTGAAGCTCCCTGCACTCGCTGACTCCCGTCCAGCCTCGACGGCTTGAGCCTCGATGGTCTGTCTGGAACTAAAGAAGAGAAGCAGAAAGTGCAAAATACCTTTTTCGGCAGAAGCGGCTTCATGTGGGGCTAACGGAGAGGTGTTTGAAAAGGATTCAAACAACATAACGGAATCTGTGCTGGTTCGCGGCAAAAGTTGGAACTGCCGCCCCCGAGCAAGATGTATTTCTGCACGGCGGCCGGCCTTCCGACGGAAGAAGTGTCGCCGACAAGTTCCAGGCGTGGAGTGTGCAGAAGTTAAGCCGAGAGCATTGGGATGGAGCAACTGGGTCGCCCAGTAGTGCCCTTTTGCCCTTTTTTGGAGAGGGTTCCCCTACTAAAATAGACTACAGAAAAAGGGTACTCTTATTCTAACCTCTCTACTTGAGAACCTAGGCAACACTTCGAGACATATTTGCTCAGCAGATAGGGTTGACCATCCCAATTCCCAGTTTCCCAATGGATTCCGCTTTTTTTCCCTCATTTGTTTTTAATCGGAAGGGTTCCGATTCCTTGAAAGTCCACCAACCCGAAAAAAAAATAAACCGATCGGAGGCCGATGCTTCTTTTTTCCCAAAGGGCCACCGGGAATCCGATAATTTTCTCGCAACTCTCGCCTGAGCCACTTGCTCAAAGCCGATTCGGGGATTGGTGAAGGTTAGTAAGGGACAATCCCCTTGCCATAAATAGCTGCGGATCTCCGGCTTCTTAATTCTTGAAGCATGGTTTTCTGGGTCGACCATTTGAATACCGGGTTTTGATTATGACCCTGGGTGTGTGTAAAGTGGGTCCCGGACTCCTCAAACTGAGTTTCTTTTGGAGGATTTTCGGGGCCGTCTTATATAAGCTCGGCTGCAAGCAATTCGACCGTTCGAAATGACCTCTTTCGGTTTCCTGATTTCGGATCCCTAAAAGATGGTTGTTGTTGGGAACACTTTACATTTTTGCTCATTGTGGTTTAGTCGTTGAAATCCAACCACTTGACTGCTAACATTGACATGTGTGTTCCCCTAACCCAACGTCAAGACCGGGGCAACCGAGCAAGACATACCCCTCTCCGCTCGCGACCGCCATGCTCGCTGGCCTGCCGCCAACTCAGCATTTGCTCGGCGAAAGCTCCCTGGTTTAAAAGGGACTTGCTGGTCCAACTAGGTCCCCCAGCTAGGTGCCCTTTCTCACCCCTTTTTTGGTTGGGAGGGTTCCCCTACTAAAATAGGCTACAGAAAAAAGTTGGTACCCTTATTATAACCTCTCTACTGGAGGACCTAGCCAACATGTTTTTGTCCAACTCGGAACTTATATTTGTTGTCTTTCTGGACGGAAGAGTCCCTTTGGGGATTTCTCCTTTTCCGAAAGGAAGCCAAGCATCTGTCCTTTGTAGACGACTTGGACCTTGCATGTTCTGAAGCAAGTGCACGTGGCCACACTCCTCGAATTATGGAGATTCCGGCCTGATGACCGCGCGCTCGTCGTAATCTGGCGATGCGCGCGGAAGGCACTTAGTGCCACATGAGCAACGGTCAATATTCACGTCCAAAGCGAATCAACCGAATCTGACCCTTTAGTTTTCCAAGAAACTCGGGATCCCATATGTCGCCGCTCCAAAGTTACTTTTTGTTTCCAGGTCTTGGGGTTCAAAGTGAGCTATGTATCCCATAGAAAAGGGGAATGTTGAGCGTTGCTCGGGACTCTTGGGGGCTTGCTCAAAGGCGACCCCCAGCAGCTGGACAGTGCTTAAATTTGGCGAGGTTGCCTGTGACGCGCAGGGCTCATGACGGTTCCAATACAGAAGCCAAGTTGTCAAGAAGTACGCGTCACTTTTCAGTCACCAATCTTGGTGTCCGCCGCTTTTTCACCCACAGTAGCGAAAAGTCGACACTCTGCGGGGCTGTGATTGACTTGCAGTTTATCCAAGGACTGGTTAGTCTTTGGGGTTAGGCCCCTTTTGTATCAGAGACTCGTGGATTCCGTTTCCCACAGCCCTGCAGAGAGCAGTCGCTTGGTCCTACTGACCCAAAGGTTTTGGGGGAAGCGCGCTTTCGGCACCGGGATGAACATACCTCACGGCTTAAGCAGGGTTCTTGGCAAACCACAAGCGATGGGTTGGCAAAAGACGAGGAACACCGAACACCTTCATTTGCCTGAGAGTATGCTTTATTTTCCTCACTACTGCTTTGGTGCATTTTGCTTGGATGTTAGGACTTTAGCTTTTTGCCAACGAATGGGTTTTCCACTAAACCACTAAAAGTTAAACTGTTAGCAGGGCAGCAGATTTCGCAACCGAGACTGGAAGTATTTTTTTCCCCTGGGGGACTGCAAATGGAGGCAACTATTTCTTGCTGGTTCGATAGGCAGGGAATGAGTACAGCATGACCCCGAGAAAAACCCGTCAATGGTTTTTCGCAGGTTCATTCCCAAAAACCCCGGAGTGGTCATTCCCTACCTATCGCACCAATTTGGGGTGTCGCAGTGCCTATTGAGGCTGTCAAGAATTCATGATACGTGGGCTGGTAAATTCGCCCATTCACTGGGGGTTCAACTCTTCATTCTACTCTGACTCCAATATTGGTTTGGTAAGCACATCACCCTCAACACCAGTGGGAGCCCTAATTTGCCCACGTGAGCAGATCACTGCTCGAAATATGGAAAGATATGCAGCCTTGAAGGAAAACCCGAGAATTGAAGCACAATGCATTTGCCCAGAACGTTCTGATTGCATCTTCTTGTCTTTTTCGGCTGTCCGGCGCTTGTCCAAAAGAAATCTCCGGCCGCGCGCAGCGCGGTTGCAAGGAATGTCCGGAGCGTGATGAACCTCCGCTCTCAGGTCGTCCGGTCAAGGGGCCCAGCTAAGTGGCTTGGAGTGAGCCGAATCCGAAGCCGAATCTGAAGTAAGGAGACTCGAGCCAACTTCTGAAGCCATAGACGCCCCACACGCTTGATTGTTATTGGTTTGGATCTGACTGAGAAGCTTTTGGGGAAATCAAGTTGGGTTTTCCACTAAACCCCCCAAAAAGTTGAACTTTTTGCAGGGGGGTCAACAGCAACCAAGCTTGAAGTAGTGAAGTTTTAGGGAGCGGGGGAAAGGAGCTTCTTTCAAAATGGTTCCGCATCTCCTGAGCGACTTGAAAAACGAGGACCAATGTGGATCGTGTTGTATACGCACCCAAGAAACGGCGCTGAAAGCCACAAGATCTCTCAGTTGCACCCTTTCCTGGTTTTTTGGCGGCTGCCCCACTACAAATTCGGTCTTCCAACCAAAAAGGGTTCCCCTTTTTTTTCTTCCAGGGTCACTGAACTGAGCATCTGCTCCCGCCAGCCAAGATCACTTCCCCAATTCGCGACCTCAGGTTGCCACAGAGCGCGCCACCCTTGAAGTGAAGTTCTAGCAGCCGGGGAAAAGACGAGCTAAATCAAGGTCCCTTCATGGTTGTTGTTGGGAAACATTTTACATTGTTGCTCATTGTGGTTTAGTGGTTGAAATCTCCACTTAACTGCTAAAATTTAATTTTTTGCTCCCCTTCCAACGTCAACCAAGCCTTAAGTTCCTACGGCGAAGAGTTGCACTTCAGCAACCCTGGTCCATGTCAAAGGCGCAAATGCGCCGCTCCGATCCGAGCGCCGCATGAGAGACCGTTTTTCTTGCGGCTCACTTCAGTTGGGAGAAAGCACCTAATGTTGACCCCGGATGAATAAACCGATGTTTATCAATATGGGGGTGTTCCACGGCAAAAGTGATGAATCCCCACTAAATCAGGACACCCTCACACTACTCGTAATAAACAGGGGCTTATTCATCCGGGGTCAAGATAAGACAGGCAAGTACTGAAGCATTTGCTTTCTGGTTGTGCCAGACTTCTGCATCATTTTCCTCAAAAATCACAGGGAACGTGATCATACAAGGAAGCACCCATGGCCCAAATATGCTCGGAATTACAGGTAAGTTGAGGAAAAGCTGAGTTGGCAAATTTGAGGCACCGCACCTTTATTTGCCAATCCATTGTGAAGAAGGATCCTTCCCATGTAATCCAAAGGGGGATCCCCAATCAGCAGTATCGTGTCCCAAGAACTGCTCGCAAGGCTGGCTGCTGCTTTCTTTTTGGGCAAGGGTTTCCCTTTACAGTTCAGCAACACACTTGCTGGTGCGACAGGTAGCTTCCATTTGGTTGAGAATATTTGTTTATTTTCCCCGGTTGGTTTTAAAGGGAATCTATCACTACTGGACTTTTTTAAGCTTTTCCAGGGGACTTAAGCAAATGGAGGGTAGCAGGGTTGTGGGATCAAGGGGTTTCTCCCCACTTCTGTGATGCAAGGGACTCCCCCTTATGAACACAATAGTCTTTGGAAAGCCCTTTCCGTTGTATTACAGAAGTGGTGATTCCCCACAGCCCTGGAGTTTGCCACCATTTGAATCATGGCTGACTTTTTCAACACCAAAATAAAGTTGGAAACCACCATTTACAGTTGCAATGTTCAGGTGTATCATGTAAGAATCCCTGAACCATTTCTCGGGATCCCCTGCTTCGGATCGATCGAGTCGTTCGGATCGACCTGGCTCACTCGGCCCACTTTGGTCCCATGTGCACGAAGCACGCGCGCGCGCGAAGCACGCGCACGTCAATCCATTGGATCCCTTCGTCCAGCTGCTCAATTGCAGATCCCAATTTCGTCGTGTCTGATTTTTGGGGGTACCCCTTGTTGCTAGGTGGCACTTGGGAAATGAAAGCGAAGACGGTCCGCTTTGCCATTTTTGAGGGTCCTGTAGCCCTAAGAAGACACCCCCCCCATGGCAAACTCAACGGGTTGCCCGAGCACAGGCCCGAGACATGACCGAACACATCGATAAAAATTTGCCTCAGTTCATAGACTTCATTGGCCAGTGAGCTTGCCAATCTTGGGGTCAGGTCAAAACAAAAAAGACCAGTTACAGTACTGTGAACTTGTATTCACAGTCCCTCCCGGTTTCGGCCCTTAGTTGTTTTTCATTCCCGTCCGGGTCAGCCGTAATGTTGACTGCGGATTCACGCAGAAGACCCGGACGCCAAAACAAACACCCA